AACATGTGACGTTGACGAAGGCATATGCAGTGGCACCTGGACATGGCTGCAGAATTCTCAAGTATGAACCCATTTTTAAGGGATTTTGAATTGAATTTTGTCAGGCCACAGTTGTTGCTAATTATTTGCTTTTGTCCTTAACATTTAACTTTAAGGCTTCATTAACTATTTCATGACTACTTTTGAGCTGTGTGACTAAAACACTCATCCAAGAAGTCACTTGGATGAGTGACGAAACGTTTCTCCCACAAAACGCTACGTCCAGATGAACAGAATCAATTTTTGGAGATGTAGAATAGAAGAATAGATAGAATAGAATAATCCTTTAATTGTCCCACAAGGGGAAATTTGGTTGTAACAGCAGCCAGAAAGACACATATACAACAAACAGTAAACAGGACACAGAACAGAAACATACACAATTTTTCTTACATATTTACATTAAGGACAATGGTTACTATAAACAGAGTACTGTACAGTTATTAAAATTAAATAAAATTAACTACAGATAAGAGGCAAACCAGGTTGTAGTGCAAATCGGTTGATTAAATTATTGCAGTTACAGCGCAGATGTAAACATCTGTTTGTTGGGAGCAGTTCTGATTGTATGTGTGACTAAAAGTGTTAACGTGACAGTAATGTCAACTTTTAAAGTTTACATGTTGTCTCCAGGCTTTCATTGGTTTCCTTCTGTCACAGGAAGAAACTTGCTGGGTTAATTTTCCTTGATCAAGGCACAGTAACTTGGAGCTTGTTCTCAGGTGTCGCCCACTGCTCTCTTACTTAGGATTATATGCTATGAATGAATTTTGCCTTAGGTTATCCTTTATAAATCCCCTAACTTAAAAATGCCATGTCTGAAGAAATTTTTGTTGAGTTGCAAGGGGTCAGTTTGAGGAGGGGTGTCTCAGAGTTCACTCATCAGAATCAGTAAATGGAGACTTATATAGCGTTTTTCTGCCCTCATGGAGCGCTCAAAGCACTTTATACGACATGCCACATTCACCCATTCACACCAGCACTTTTTTCTATGCTTTTCAGTGCTTTTTAGCTAACATTCACATGCATTCATCCTCCGATGGATGCATCTGAGAGCAACTTGGGGTTAGTATCTTACCCAAGGATACTTGGCATACAGACTAGGGGAGCCAGAGATCGAACCGCTAAACTTTTGATCAGTAGTTGACCTGCTCTATACCTCCTGAGCTACACCCAGTAGGAATATAATGACCTGGCATCTGTTTCTGTGCCAAGGACCTACTGAGTTCCTTAAATCCAAGTTTAGCAGGAGTAAACTGAATAGTAATGCCATCTTTTTCTCGCAAAATCTGTCTTGTGCAAATTCTTGTTTTCTATGGTTGGCGGATAGACAAAAAATTGTAATACAAATGAATTGCTTGTTTATGTATAATACATACTGTGCTAAATTCTTGGGTCAGCCGTAATTTCTTTCCATTTCCTTTCATACTTTCTTGTAATTTTTAACATGGTCTCCATGCTTTGTTACTAGTAGCCAGTCGCAAAAACACATAATATATTCCCATCTCTTTACTTGAATGTATAAAGAAAACACAGTTTGAAAGGCGTACAATAGTATTTTGGTACAAGTAAGATGATTTCTAAAGAGCTATTAGCTCAGCTATCTCACTATTGTGCTCAGTGTGCGGTTACAACAAAACTGAGGAAACTGGAAAAGTGGAAGACAAAATATCGGGCCTAAAAAAAAACAACTAAAAAAAACATTAAGATTTCATCCAGTGGTGTTGACAAAATGCATGTAATTATGAATGCAGACAGCATCCAATTCATTTTTCAGCATGACAATGATCCCAAACACACTGCCAATCCAGTAAAAGCATAGTTGGAGAGAAAAACACAAAATTGAACACTGTCAGTCATGGATTGGCCTCCCTAGAGTCTGGACCCCAACATTATTGAGGCAGTGTGGGATCATCTTGACAGAAAGCAGAACAAAAGGCAGCAGACAGTCATAAAAGAGATATTTGCATGTATATTTGCACGTTTCAATAAATAACATTTTTCTATCAGAATTCTGGAACAAATATTTCTACTTAACATCGTCTGAATATTAAACCTGGCCTCACAACATAAAACAGTCTCTCTGGCCTTTTAGCTTCTAAATCTTCCACTTAGTTTGTCAAGTAGTTCCTGCTTTGTGTATCTTTCTGTGAGGCTCAGGTACTGTAGTGCACAGTCAGCTTTTTTTTTTTTTGGCTGGGAACTGCTTTCTGCTGCATTTAGTGCAGCTTTAGATTAAATGAAAGGAATACATTATTTGAAAAAATGTTGCTTTAATGTTAGCAGACAAAAGATAACTCTTTGTACGCGTGTGATGGCACTCAACTCTATGACTGCAGTACATCGAATCCATTTATTAGCACACCTGTATTAGGAGTGTGGCTTCATTTTTATTTGTGCTTTTAAAAATGTCCACAAAAGAACAGCCAAGGTTGGCAAATCTAATGCAGGGAGAAGGTGGAAAAAACAGTGGACTTGAAAAAAGTCACCTGCCTGTTGTTGTTTTTCTTCCTTTGTAGTTCACATTGCCGTAATATGCAGTTTAAAATTCAGCCGCTCTATAATTGGACTGTACCCATGTTGTACTGATGAAATCATCTCACTGTGTCTTCCCCCTACTTTAGTTAATGATGAGCTTTGCTTTCCAATGATGATTATAAAATGACTAAACACGAGCTCTCTGTGTAACCATTGTGTTGTTTTTCTAAAGCGAATAGACAGCAGATTCAGTGAACCACACGAGCCCTGCTGCTGCTGCCATGCTTTCTCTGTATTGTCAAGAGTCAGTCACATGACTTTAGTGGTTATTCAGAATTAGGCCAGAGCTGGGCCCAAGGGAAAACTCCACAGTGACCGCTCCAAATGGTGTCTTCAGTATGCACCATCTGCATGTGTATAAATGTTTGCTTATGATCATATGTGCTTTAAGACACTGACTTGCGCGTAGGTCTGCAAACATTAGCTAAGGTTGAACTTCTAAATCACTGTGTGAGTTTCACTGTGTAGATGTTAGAAGATTTGCGGATGAATATTTTGGATGCCAAATACTTATTATTTACTTATTATCTGTGAGCTGCTTCAATTTGAGATACTTCTGGTGGTCCATTACTTTAGCTCCAAGGATTAGATTTTTAAACAGTTGCTGAATAAATTAGACTAATCCATATCATCCTGGCACTGTGTCTAAAAGATCACATCAATCTTTAGGATATGCCCAACAAGGCCACGTATTAGAAGTTGGATCATCCTCTTCGAGCAATCTTCCTTCTCTACTTAGTCAGCCATTATAAAAAAAGCATCATGTGATCAAGGGTCTGATGTTAACTGGAAGATGATTAAGTTTCACTAATCATTACCTTTGGGGGTCTCATTATGTGGTAAACTCCATTCTGATTCATACACTGCATCCCCATGGGCCCCCTACATACACATGTAGACTTAAACATTTAACTTGACTTTGAACTGTGTGCTGTGGTAATAGCCCAGTGTGTCTTCCCTCACCGCTCTATACATTCCCAAAAGGTCGCCTATAGTCAGCCACACCGTAATGCATATTCATGCTTATCCCCACAGTGGGATTTCCTCATTACTCAAGAGCAAAATACTATAGGCCCATGACCAAGTGAAGAATGGGATGGGCACAGAGCCTGTTATTGCTTTTGTTGCGAGCACCAACTCGCTAATGGTTAATCATCACGCGGTAAATAAGAAAATGGATCATATGACAGACCAGACAGTTAATAACTCATTTATCATCATCTGCCTTTTTGAAGAGTATCACCAGCCCAGTGATTGCAGTCTCCACACATTCTCTTCAAATGAGGGACTATCTTTTGGAACATTTGTGTGTGACAGACGCGGAATAATTTATGCGTGTTGAAAGTACTGTCACATCAAAGCAAACTCCACTTTCAGTATATTTTTGGCCGTTTCATCTAGATGCGATTGACTCTACAGCTAAGCTAGAGCCATAAGTCTTTCATCTTGCTCTATGACCCGCCCCTCCCACTCACTCCTCGGACTCAGTCGACGTACAACACCATCATTGCATTGAGCTCAGTATTACGGGAGATTTCAGTTTTATTACAGTGGTTATAACTCCATATTTTGATCAAATGATTTCACATTTACTGACTGATAATTGCTGTTAACTGATAATTCTCTCTGTCTCTAGTCCTATAGAATCCTGCCAGAACTTCTACAAAGATTTCACGTTACAGATTGATATGGCCTTCAACGTATTCTTCCTTCTTTACTTTGGCCTGCGGGTAAGCTGGTACATGCACACACCCATTTTTTACATGCATCTGCTGTGCAATGAATGTACTACAAAATACAGCCATATAGCTGTTGTTTTATCTTCAAAAAGGCTCTTTAATGCATCTGACTTCATTCATTTACTGCTTTTTATTGATTTTATTTTTATGATGGCATAAAAAACAGTTACTTTGAGACAGAGTAATGTTTTGGACAACTGACATGCATGTGCAGACTTTTACCTTAGTCACCCATTACTCAAACAGCGTACCTTTAGTTTAAGCTGACATTGCTGTAACGATGTTCCCAGCATGGCTGTCATGCAAGAGCAGAATTCCGACGGTGCAAATGCTATCCGGATGCTTGACATCCTGAATGAATGAAAAAAACAAACAAACTCATAAGCTGCTTACACCAACAACCATTACTGCATGACTCAGCAAGTAGGGTGAAGCTTTTGTCATTGTGTATAATAAGTCAGCATTGTCAAAAGAAGACACAGCAGTTTGAAGAGCGGGCTGTGGCAAAGTCAGGATGTTTTGTGCAAAATTAACCTTCAGTTGTCACCTTTTTTCTTTTTGACAGTTTATAGCAGCCAATGACAAGCTGTGGTTCTGGCTGGAGGTCAACTCAGTGGTTGACTTCTTCACTGTTCCTCCTGTGTTCGTGTCTGTCTACTTAAACAGAAGCTGGCTTGGTAAGTTTCCATATCCATAAACTTAAACTTATAGCTCTCACTCTATCGACCCTATTGCTTTTCCTTTCCGCTTATTTTTAATAATTTTCATCCTCACATTTGTGTCTTTCTATTCCTTTTTGCCCTCTGTCATTGAATGCCACCCTTCCTTTTTATCTCCTCCTATCACTCCCACCGTCTCCCCATCACTGGGAGCAAGTCTCGGAGGCTCTCTTGCTTGCGGCTACAGTCAATGTTCCCTCATCATTGAAAGTGACAGGGCTGGGTTCCTCTGATGTTTCAGGGAACAAAGACACAGCAGAGTGGATCAACTAATGGGAGTGAAAGTGACTCAGAGTAGGGCTGTGGCTCGGTGACTCTCCATGTTTGTGCTTCACATTCATTAGTATTTGGTCCGTCGAGGCGTTGCACCTGGGGTACCTCACAGTGCTGTACCATCTATTAGACTCATTCACATCCATGCGAACAAAAAAATGCACATGTAAAAGCATGTGATATCCCCATACACACTTATACACACTCTCGCATGAGCAGACTGGAAAATACCCTAACCTGCATTACATAACGACCTATTTTTTCCCACCGTGTTTAGATGATGTGACCTAAATTACATTGCAGTTCTTTGTAGGTGTGTTCTTTTTTGGATGCTCTGCCTCTCTGCTTTTAAAAACCTCAAAAAAGAAGCTCGTTCGTGCCAACACTATTCCAGCGTTGGTCTTATTGTGTCACTGGAATACACAGAGCGACAATGTTAATGCAGTAGTCACACTAATACTGACATTTAGCCTTCCTTCAAATTGCCATTTTTGTCGAGTTTGTCTCAAACACTCTTTATCAGTAACAGTAGGAGTGCTCAAATATTACAATTAATTAAATGTGACCGTTTCAGGGTGCTCTTGGTGTTCACTGCTACATTTTTAAGGATTTCACTGAGTTTTAAAAGAGTAGAGCAATCGATATTGCCATTGGCAAGGTTTTTGTTAAATTTGAGAAGAAACACGAAGAATCACTCGATAATGCTGGTTTTCCTCAGGTTTTTTTTTTTACATGCCCGCCAGAATCACTGACTCTGTGAAGTAATGTGAGGCTGTGAATGTTTGATCTCTGAGTTGATGAAGGTTTCTTAAGAAGCGCAGAGTGGTTCGCGAATTTCACACGGAACAAGCTGTGTAATGAATTAGACGTGGCCAAGCCAAGTAGTCTGGTTTCATGATGCAAGGTGTCCTCATCTCCTCCCCAGAAGACTGTTGGCGTTAGGCCCTTGATGAGGATGATGAAAGATTGTGAAATAGTGGTCTGGCTGCTGGCTGATGTTCTGTAATGATTATTAAATATCCTGCATGTAGACCTGATGCAGGAAAGAACAACACCTTAACATATAATCCAGCTTCACTGTGAGCTGTTATCCTTAAACAAAATGTGCCTATAATGTTTTTTTTATTTAGAGATGCCCTAGATTCCAGGGCTCTTCATTATTTTTAAATGGGGAGACTCAGTGCGTTTCAGTTTCACAATGGTGACACAAGAGGTGGCATCTCCACCTCATAAAAACGAAGACATTTTTTATTTTAGTGCTGGACTTGTCTAACAGCAGCACAGTAAAAGAACAGAAAACCCTCTGTCATGCGTTGGGATGGGTTTATTTTTACCAGGCGTTGTGTTTAATAGCAACATAAAGTGCTGCAAAGCCCATGTTATAAAATTAACAGAGCGTCGATCTGCAGTAGGATGTGACGGTCGATTTTAGAATACCAATGATGTGCTGAAAGTGTCTTCATATTCAGGTCGAGAACCTGAGAATAGCAGTCATTATTAACTGCTTATATCCTGTATTAATAAGGGAGTTAATATGGAACTCTGTGGTGGGAGGAAAATAAGCACAATTAAACGGTATCAGTCGGAAAATGTACCTGATCTGCTTTCTGATGGTGACCTTTGCAATTCACTGTTAAATAAATGAAATTGCCCGTTTTGCTTTAGCTGTGTATGTGGTTGTTCACTTCCATCAGACAGCTTAACAGGGCCAAAACGAGCTAATGCACAACTGCTGTTACTTTCATTTAGTTAAGTGTCCATACTGTTCCTTAACGCAGGCTTTGTTAGAAGCCATGGTGGCTGTTAAGAGTGCGTATTGTGCTCTTCAATCCCCTTGGATTGGTTCATCTTCACTTCAATTAGCTGGTAGGGAATACACACCACACACCAGCCAGCATAATATATCACAATTATACTAACTCTCGTTTCAGTCCTGGAGAAGACCAGTGGAAATTCAGTGGAGGTGTGCCTGGTTAATAAAAAGCCCACTAATAAGGGCTCTGCCCTGTGCTCTGTGGTAGAGTATTCATCCACTTTGCACACAAGGCAGTGCCTGTATACGCTGTGCACATTTTAAGTCATGTTCTCTTTGGCTTTGCAAAATGGACATTGATTAAGGGGAGGAGAATGATGTGAGGCTAATGTAAGAGTGCATGTAGAGTTCTTCCTTGGAAAAAGGAATTAATCTCCTTTAACTACTTGAATTTAACATTTCTCCCAAGAGTCCTGACAGTGTGGGATTTGCCGTTTGAAAGATGCTCATAGATCTTGTGGCTACTGAGCCTTAGCTTTCACACCCTGTAAGTTAACTCCATGCCTTTCCACCACAGCCATTACAGAGGACTACCTTCCCAGTTTTAAATATTTAAGGAATAAAACAATTTTTTAAAGACAAATGGCATCATGAAAATACCTAAAGACAACTGCAAAGTCTATTTTATTTCTATTTCATTGTATTTGATTAAAGTGTGTTGTTTTTGGATAGCCAGTAAGAAATGGTGTCAATCTAATGTTATTGAAGCTTCACTGGCCTGAAGAATGTGCAGTAGTTTGTAGCCTTCAGACATGCCTTATATTCTGACATGCTACTGCCTCCTAGTGGTGGGTTAGTTTGTTGGTTTCCTGCTGAAAGAGGCTTACAGTACCTGATATGGGCATGATCGCTTTATATGGCCCTTCAGCCCATGGTAGGGAAGGGAAACTGTTTCGAGGGAAGTTTAAGCCTCTTTAGTATAGCCAGGCTTCTCGCGTGTTGCAGTTTGAACATTTTTTTTGTATGTATTGATAAATATGGACTGTTTATCCTCCATGAATGAGCAGGAAGAGTCAGTGCTGTGTACACTTGCTGAGGATCTGTGTGTTTAGATTAGCGTAGCATCATATAATCTAATCCTGGCTTGGTTTACTGTCAGTGTTATCCCAGATGAACTGCTCCAGCCTGCCGATTGATAAAAAGCCCCAGAAAGCTGCCCGTCCAGGACATGTGACACAGAGGCAGTGCTTGGCCTTGCAAAGCCTCAATTAAGTAAGAGCGGGCACAGAACAGAAAACCCTTTTTTTTTTGAATGAGCATCTGGCAAGCTGACACATGTGTGCAAGAGGCTTTGGCATGTGCGGGAAAGAGATTTTCTCATACATGAACACAGCAAGAGAATTTCATTGAGGTTTTTTTTTTGGTTTGTTTTTAACATGATTTTTACATAATACACATTTTTTTTAATAGAAAAGAAATTATTGTGTGTTATAATTGTTGTAGGCCTTTGTGGGGCTGTTTTTCTTGCTCTCACTCAGTGTAGGTGAAGTCTCAGATGTGATAGCGTGAACAGATATTTCTCCACAAAGTCTCACAAAGTGTTAAACGCAAGACAAAATACCGCACGCACAGATGTACAGCATAACACAAACACAGATGCTTCACACTAATTGAGAAAAATGTGTTCTGCAGCCACCTGCATCGCAGCATCACTGTGTGTTTGGTGGCATGTCTGATATTTACAATCTGAACGCCAAATTTGCAAAGTATTTGTTGATGTTGTCACATCAGTTTTATGTCAAAAAGCTGGCTGCTATGTTTTGTGTTGTAAGTGCAACACAACATTTCTGTCTTTGCCAGTCGAACAAATATACAGTTTCAGTTTGTGGAGCGTAGTCATTTGTTATTGTTAAACAGGTGTGAATCACTGCATCCAAAGCCAATGCGAAAAGGCAAAACACAGTGAGGTCAGTTAGGATTACATGTGTGCAGTATGAATTACGATCCACACCATCAGTTGGATTTTTTTTTATATACTAAAGTAAAATTAGAATACTACTTAAGTAGGCTAGCAATGATATAAACAAAACATATTTAAAGTAGTTGAAGTAAAACTTTCAAGAATCATCTGTATAAATGATATCATAGTATAATACCTATGAATTTATTGATTCATACATTTAATGTTGCAGCTGTTGTTTGACCTGTTGTTACACCATATATGGCTAGATTTCTTGATATATCAGCGAAATAATACACATCTAAAGCTTTAAAATAAATAAACTACAATAATTGCATCCATCATGTAGTGGAGTAAAAACAGGAAGCAGCATAACACCAAGGGGAGTATTACATTTTTTCAATAGGATATCAGTGTCTATGAAAACATGATTTGTGGTCATTAAAAAATATGAAATTTAAACTTATGTTGCTAATTTATTTTTCTTAATTAATATTAAGTTTAATATTGTACATTTGTTCAACTGTTTTATTATTCATTGACATTATTTATAGATGGTCGTTGTTACAACTAAAGAAAACTAAAAATAAACTAAAAAGCATTATTTATATATACATGTATCTGTGTTGCCGCACGACATGACAGGATGAGGCAGAGCCATCATGGACAGGAGAAACGCAATTTTGTTTGATATAATCGTTCAGCTGCTTATCACAAACATCTAATCAGCCACACGACATGACAGTAACTCGGTGCATTTAGACATGGTCAAGAAAACCTGCTAGTAGCAACTGATCATCATTTAAACACCACAGTCTATCTGAGTATTGTTGGTGAACATGGCCATTCCTTTATGACCACGGTGTACCCATCTTTTGCTTATCTGCTTCCAGCAGAATAACGCACCATGTCACAAAGGTTTCTTGAACACAGCAGTGAGTTCACTGTACTCAAATAGCCTCTGCAGTCACCAGATCTCAGTCTAATAGACCACCTTTGGGATTTAGTGGAAATAAAGATGTGTATCTTGTGCAGATGACTGTAAATTCAACTGTGTGATGCTATCATGTTTGTATGGCTCAAAAAGGAATATTTTCCAGCACCTTGCTAAATTTGTGCCAAGAGGCATTAAGGCAGTTATGAAGAGAAAAGCGAGTCCAACTCAGTACTAGCACAGAGTACTTTACAAAGGAGCTGGTGAGTGTATTTATAATTTGTTGTTGTTGTTTGGGTTTAAAAAAAACAAACAGGTTTTTGCAAAAGTACAATATCAGGTCTCTTTCAGATTTCAGTCCCATTCTGGGCCATAAACATGAGAAAAACACAGCTTCAGTTGCCATAGATACAAAGTGATTACTGAGGGTCATGACAATATAATCTGGATTTTATGTCGTTTTGTTGCTTCCAGCTCCAGAGGGAGTCTTTCCTTTGATTCTGCTAAAATACCTGGAGCTGGAGGATTCAGTTGTATCTGTTTAAAAAAAACAAACAAAAGTTTCAGGAATTTATGCCCTAAATACATGTTTACATGGAAGTGTAGATTCCTTATCTGTAGTCCTAATCTGACAGAGATGGGTTTTGTTTTTTTACTCTTTTTTTTTTTTTTACTGTCAGACGGAGTTGTTTGAAATTTCGTTGTGAAAACAGGTCTCTCATTTTATGTACGGATTATTGTTTTTGTTCTGCTTTATTTTCATCTCTGTTAATCCCTGGCATGGTTCAGACTTTTTTGAAAGGTTTGACACAGCTGTGTGTTGATGGCGACGTGGCTTTATAGGGGTTAGTAGTAAATCACTAAAAGGGGCAGGAGAAAGGTAAATCTGTTTGGGTTGTGGGGATTAAAGGCACTGTAACAAAAAATGAGGAAAAAAAAACAATTATATTAGAGCTGACATTTTGCTCACAGAGACACTCTCTGATGCGACTGACATGGAAAACCTATACAACTGCAGCTGAATGCACGGACACCAATGATTTAACACCAACAGAAGCAACATTGTCCTATCAAGGAAGCCTTTCTTTTTAAAGCCTTTTCTTTGGTTATTTTACTAGGAATACTTAAAGACCATAAATATTTGAGGATTACAGACTTCTTGACCTGAAGTCAAGTCCCAAGTACTGGATTTGGTCCAGAAACAATGATTCCTCCTAAACTGCTTGTGTACCGTCGTACACACAGTGATGTAAATTTGCAAACCCTCCAAGAGACATGGAGGCGAAAGAAGTCTTGTGGCGATCTTTTTCAGAATGGATACAGGGTGAGGCAGGGCCATCATGGACAGGAGAAAAAGGGAAGCCAGACAGGACTTTACTATTCTGTTTGGTCCTGTTTACACATTCTCTCCAACTGGGGTAAGAGCCTTAGGTTAAGTGTAATACGTGAGATTGCTTCATCAGAATCATTGATGTGCCTGTGACAACCTTATATTCGTGGGGTCTGATTGTATAATTTCCGTAGGAATTTTTATCACTGACATAAATCCATGTATGCTTGTTCTATGGGATTGGACCTGTTATATAAAAAGACAATGAGGCAGTTGCCACTTTGCTCTATAATCCATGAGGGACCTGCTCTTTGCACTGACACTCACGGCTTAAAATGTTCCTTCTAACTTGGTTGACACCATAATTATTCAGAAAATGTGCTATTTATTTATTTATTGATGTATTATTTTTGTTTTGTTTTCTTGTATGTTATAAGCTACATTTGATGATTTGGATGATGTTGCTCTGTACTGTGCCTAAATGCTGTGGTAACATGTGGGCTGCATCACTAGCTGATCTGCCAACATGCAGAACCTCATGTTGTTTGAACTCAGGACGATGTCTGCACAGGTGTTGTCTCTACATTTCCCTCCTGTCAGTGCATGTTACATGTTGATACGTTTCTCTGTTCTTCTCTGTTCACGCAGGTTTAAGATTCCTGAGAGCACTAAGATTGATACAGTTCTCAGAGATTTTGCAATTCTTAAATATCTTGAAAACAAGGTAAGAAAAGTTTTTTTTCTTTTTTTCATTTACAAAACACACACATACCCTGACAATAGAATTTTTAGTATTAAGACCAACCTATCACCTAGAGTCTTAAATAAATATGCTTTGCTTATCAGGACATAATACAAATCATCTGGTCCTTATCAGTTCTTAAAATTTAGTAAATATCTTCTCAGATAAACAACAAGTCATATATTATGTATAACATAATAATATAGCCATACCATAGTTCACACAAATTAGGCCAAAATACAGAAGCGGTGTATAAACAATTAGGTAAATACTTCGATATATATATTAAGAAGGTAAGTGGTGACCAGTTGCCGCTAATCAAATGTACTTGATTAACTCATCAACTTAATCATCAGCAAGTGTGAGGACCTCTATAAAGGCACGTATTTTGGCAGTTTGCTGGTCTGGAGCATTCGATGCCAAGACATCAGCAATGATCTTAAAGAAGTAATCCAGTATTCTACGGGGATGAAGGTCATTCACAGCTAGAAGACTTTCAAGACAGTTGGCAATCATCCCAGGAGTGAACATCTCAGCAAAAAAATAAAAAAATAAATAAAAAAGCTACACCTCAGACTCTACAGCCTGCTAAATGTTGAGGTTCATGTCAGTGCAACTGACTGAACAAGAGTGGCTTGTTTTGGGCAGAAAGCAAGATGGACATGTTTGGGCATAATGCACAGTGCCACATTTGAAAACCAAACATCAGCTGTCAGCACAGTGGAGGAGAGCTGATGCTTCGGGCTTGTGCTGCAGGGACAGGACCTGAGCACCTCGCAATCATCGAGTGGCACATTAGGCAATCTGTATACTCAAGTATTCTGGAGTATAATGTGAGGCCACCTATCCAGCATATAAAACTTGGCCCAAACTGGCTTATGCAACAGGCCGGTGATCCCAGAGCACAGAGGCAAATGTGCAACAGAATGGCTGAAAAAGAAACAAATACCCCAAACCTCAATGAACTGAAGCAATATTTAAAGAAGAGTGGGCCAAAATTTCTGCACAGTGATGTTTGTGAAATAAATGACGACACAGTGTAATATAAGTGTTCTTCATCTGAGGTTGCATTAACCTAATTTTAAAACCTGGTGGGGATTAAATGATTGTTTTCATTATGTTAAACCTTGAACTGAAAGATTGGGGACTTTCTTTTTACCATGAGTGTGTGATGAACACTGTGGTTGATTTGGAGTAAATAAAAGGAAACAATAGATAATAGGGAACAAAATTCTGACACTTTTATTCAACCTGATTTCCTTTCAACTATTGTAAGATGTAAAAAAACCCCAAAAACTTTGTTATATATATGAATAAAACAAATCTCTTTTTTTCTGTCACTGGTCTCGCCGCCTTAAATGAGTTTTATTTTTTTTCACTCTGTGCAGCAATTCCATCAAGCTGGTGAACCTGTGTTCCATCTTCATAAGCACATGGCTCACAGCTGCTGGATTCATACATTTGGTAAGTGGACAGATGTGACGGCCAGTGGCATCCAGAGTTAAATGTTCCAGAAAGAATGATACTGTAGTGAACTAACTGTAACTACCTCACTGAAACAAGTGTGACACCAAGCACTTTCAGTGAGTCTGATAGTATGAATAAAGAGCCTAAATTAATGGTATTTGCTAGTAAAAAATTAAATTTCTCCAAGTTTAAAACATTGCTGTGATGTCATATGTGGATAGGGCACTATCTGCTGTGCCACTAAAACTTAGGAGGCAGCATAATTAAAGACATTTTAGTGACTTTAACTTTAATGTACATAAAATATATCAGGGATATTAAAGCCAAACCCCATCTGTGTGAATAGCTTATGTTTATTCTGTAGGGCAAATTTTAACTAACTGTCAGAAAGCAAATAACCAGCATGTTATGTGTGTGAATCATCAGTATTTTCTGAAAGATCAGCTCAGATTTTTATATTAAATGCCTGGAATTTCCATGTGATCTGTATTCAGATTTATTATTTAGACCTGTTATTGAACTCTACTCTTGTTATCTCGGCTAAACTCTCACATGAATCCCATCTGAATGGAGAAATTGGTGACACGTGTCACATTCCAGGACAGGTGAAGCGTTCCTCTTTTCTTTTTTGCACTTCGTGTAGTTATTATCAGGCTTACTTCCAGTGGCGGGAAAAAGTAGTTGTGTTGAACAAAGCAGATTTTTTTCATGTGATCACGCTGCATGACTTGCTTTTATTCCTGCCTGAGATCATTTCTACTAAATTAGATTTCTGCATATATGTCATTTTAATACTGATCACATGTAGGATGCGTGTAAATTGTAAATAGGGGTTTTAACCCTTGGAACTTTCCTGTGAACCAAAATTAGGGATGTGGTATTTAATATTACAAACACATAAAATGGAGCATAAAACTGCCTCCTCCTTCACCTTCTCTTTATTCTGATCAAAGTGTTGGTTTCAGTTAAGCCAGATGCTTTTAAAGTGAAAATCCGTACTCGTGAGGTATTAAATGATTTTACCACTAGATGGTAGTCAAGGCTCACTAAATGAAGACGATGTCACAAAGTGAGATGAATGCTGGCACACTTGCAGCTGGATTTAATCAAATCTCAGGAAACTGTTTCTTTTTAGAAAAACTCTGTTTACAAATTGGTTGTGCGAATTGTATCTAATGATCCTTCTGCATCACTCCCTTGTCAATTTTAGGTGGAAAACTCAGGGGATCCTTGGGAAAACTTCCAAAATTCCCAGTCACTATCATATTGGGAATGTGTCTACTTGCTGATGGTGACTATGTCTACAGTGGGCTACGGGGATGTCTATGCAAGAACCACCTTGGGGCGCCTCTTTATGGTCTTCTTCATCCTTGGCGGTTTGGTAAAATCAGACTTTTTATTCTCCCTATATCCCATTTTCCCTATAAATTCCTGCCTGCCCCCGTCAATAAACTGTTTAGAACTGTCTAAAATGTCTAAAAATAAAATAAAAAAATGTGATGTTAATATTTAGAATGATCTATACTGTATAACATGTTAGTGTAGTGTTTTTATATTGTTAGAACTATATTGCCTAGACAGTACATGCTATATCTTTGTCACAGTGTAGTTGTATCCTCCTGTTTAGCCTACTGTATCTTGTCTCCTGGAGTCACAGATCATTGTGCTCCTTTGTCTTCTTCCCCCTATGTGTCCTCCCTATATTTGTTTGATTAGATTATAAGCTTTTGTCTGATGATGTTGTTATTCTCTTAAAAGCAGTTGCGGTTTCAGGACACCCCTCCTTCCGTGTCTCTTCCCACAATTCCAACAAACACAGGGGCAGGGAGATGAAGCTTAGGCCAGCCTGAATGTTACCATAGCAACGGCAGCTTCCCACAACCTGCCCTCTTACCTTCCTCTGATCTAACGTCCCGTTGGGCTGACATTAGTACAGTAACTCACATGTAAACACGCATGAACGCAAACACCTGTAAGCACTCGAACACACGGTCGCATACAGAAGAGCGCGCACACCCTTCGTCTTCGCTCGCAAAGACTGGAGGATTTAGCCAAATTCTGTACAAAGACAGCTATCAGTATGCACTGATGACCTACAGCTGTGTGGATGTGTACCATATTGTGACCATGGTGATAGATTGCAAGGTTTTCTTAGTGCTGCGAGTTCTGGAAGTCTTTAGGCGAATACCTCCGCCTGCTTCCTCTCAGCAGCAGTGGCTTAGCAATGACTCCAGGGTGAAGGTATGCTAAAGCCAAGGATAAAATCAAACTCACATAATGTCACACTATTCCTGGTAATGTAACAGTACATTTTTTCCAGGCACGAGTGAAGTATGCTTTTACCGAGCAAGGGCATCTCTGTGTTGCTAACTGTAGATGCAAGCCTACGCGAGTAACGCCAGCGAGTATACGCCACTGGTAAGCAGTGAGCTTAAACATAACTCTGTGCTGGGACGACAGGCTGTCAACCTTTGCAAAATGCATCCAGCTCATTTTCTAGCCCAACAAATGAGTCTTAATGTGTTTTGCAGCTGTGGACCATCAGGTGTGCCTATTCAAATCAACCTGCCAGGTCATCTGTGTTTGTTGGACAAAACATGGCACATAGGTTTTTATTCTTCCTCAGCTTTTTTCCAAAGAAAGGTTTTGGGTGTTAATTGCAGACTGACTAGCTGTCAGCTGTAACAAAATTATTGCCCACTAACCAAACCCGTTCTGAACTTTTAAACACTGGGGCTACTTCTTTTTTCCCTCCACTGATTTTTGGGAACTTTAGGGAGTCTCTCCAGGTAATGAGAGCGATGGGATTTACAGGCTAATATTTTTTTTATATCCTCAGAAATCTGGAATCACGCACCAATCGCTCCACAACCCACTCTGCGCCATACTAGTCTCTTTTTTAGTCTCTTCTTCTGTCTTCTATCTTCTCCTTAGGCCATGTTTGCCAGCTACGTCCCTGAAATCATAGAGTTAATAGGAAACCGCAAGAAATATGGTGGTTCCTATAGTGCGGTTAATGGGAGAAAGTAAGTATTCCAGATGGTTCTGCTGTTTTTCTGTGTGCGGTAGAACCCTCTCTGCATGCTTTTTTCTTTTTTTTTTCTATTCCATGCATGTAGGCCATGTTTGCTCGCTACGTGCCAGAAATTGCTGCTCTCATCCTTAATCGGAAGAAATTCGGAGGGAGTTATAACTCGACACGAGGCAGAAAGTAAGTTGAAATCCAGACAAGGTGTGGTTGTGTGACTAAGGTACACCTCCAGAAGTTGGTAGTTACTGGGGGTTAGTTAACTTGACTTTTTTAGAATGGTAAAGTTTAAACGCAGTTAAAGTAAAGGTACATTATGTCAAGTCACACTGCGTGACTGGAGACCTTGGCCAATAGGACACACATGTCCATGCCCTTTAATTCTCTCTTTCAGTCTTTCTCTTTCTGTCTTCTTCCTCTGTCTGCCTTTATCTATCCTCCATTCAAAGCTTTCCTAAAGTCATTTGTGTGCTTTTCATTTTCTTTCTGTGTCCTCCTTGAAACATCCTGTGTTGCGCTTTAATTTAATTTGGAAAATAGAGCTTTCATGACTATTACACTTTAGCCTAACAGGAAACTAACCTGTGGTGCTTCTATTTAATGTAACGTGTGCCCAGTGTGTCTCATCAATATAGGCTAGCCTACAGGGATGAATTAGGATCCAAATCAAAAAGCAACAAAACAGTCATGAAATCCCTACTATCCGCTTTTAAAGCATTTTCTCACAAGAAAATAGAAAGATTTAAACATCTGCAAGTGCATTATTATTGGTGGTCTTTTTTTTTAAGAATCATCAATCTCAATGAGCATTGCAGGATACAATTTCTTTTCTTGTTTTTTTGTTTTTCTCTTTACTTTTGCTTTTTTTATTATTATTATATGCATTTTTTCCCCTGCTTGAATTCGTTTTGCATGCTTTGTGCAATTACTTTTTTCCTTAACTGCATCATATCGGGCATGTTCTCTATGACCTGCAGTCTTGTGGCTTTGTCATTAATTGCTAAATGGATGATAAAGTCATCCTTCTGCTGTCTGTCATTGCTAGCGCATCGCATCATCAATGCTTGACATTACTCTGGCCCTGATCTTCAGTCAGCTCCCACACCCTGAATGCTGGATGCCTCGTTCCCATTGGAGGCTTTCAATTGCTTTTGGCTTGCTTTGCCTGCTTGGTTCGTTGATGCCCGCCTGGCTCTTATATGTGTGTGGTGGTGGTGATGGTGGACTTTATCTCTGGAGGCTCTCATATTTATGTAAATGTGCGACTGCCCTCTCGCAGCCGAGGCTCCAGTACACTGTGAAGTATATGTGACACTGTGGTTATTATAGTGTTTGTACGAACGTGCCACAATACTTATTGTGAAGTTCTCTTCTCCTCTTCCCTCCTTGTGGCTCAAACCTTGAAATATTCAGCACACAGATTTAAATTAATCCAAAAGGAGCGTATACAGAACAGGGAAAGTGCTCTTTTTATTGTCCTCCGTCTCTTTTCTTCTAATTTTGTACGGCAGCCAGCATCTGCTACTATCTGCTGTCTACTCTTTCTCACTCTGTTTCTCTTTCCAATCTCACCCCCACCAGTTTCAGTCATTCTGTTCAGCGGAGCAGATTCTGAGGAGTCAGCAGTAGAACAAGACGTTAGGGGGGGGAAAAAAAGCCTTTGTGCAGTAACGTTTGCCTGTCATTGAGATAAGATTGATGAAATGTTATGTTTGGCCAGTGACCTCAACCCAGGCTCACAGATGGGTGCTGAGAGAAGCCCTTGTCAAAATCGTGGATAGTTTCTCCAACACACTTTATTTTCTCCATCCACACCCCCCTTCCATGTCTCCTTCTGGTTAGAGTGCAAACATATTGTAACAATCGGAAGATATTCATCAAAGACTCAAGAGTAGCTACAGACTTTTACATTCTCATTTGGATATGTGCTTATAGGATGTAATGCAAATGAAAAAGTGGTTTGCCATGTGGATTTAGGATTTTCATTGGGCTTCAGTGCATTATCACTTCGCAGCTATCAGCCCACAATCCTCCAAATCTTGGAAATAAGATTAGGGGATTACACGTATCTGCTTGATTACAGAGCTCACAAACAATGAAGTCATGATACATAGTGAAGTTTATTAAATGTAGCCCTCATTTCATCTCTGGGCCTGGCTGCTGTCATTTGAACCAGGCCTTCAAAACTTATTTGGAAGTGAAAGGTTGGATTGGATCTGAACTGGATTTCTGTTTCATGCTAGCGTTGCTTATAGTACTCTGTGTAGTGTAGCATACACCCGTGAGCGTAATGACAGCTCTCAGCCTGTGTGTGCTGATATAATAATGACAAGTGTTGCGTTCTGTTGGCGCCCACTGCACTCGGGGCTCTGTGGTTTCCATTATGACTCTATGGTTTCCATTAGCCCCAACTTCAAGAGAGGACTTGGCATGAAAACTGGCTTCAACCCTGGCTGAACTCTGACACACAACTTTGAAAGTCCTCCATCGAGGCTACAAACTTGAAGCGTGCAGACTCGGAGACTGTCAGTGTCAGGAATTAACACGTATTTGCATATTCACAAAACATGCACCTAGTTGAGGTTCCAACACAATTTCATATAATTACACAATGACAAAATGCACTAAGTACGTTATGTCTGTGAGCTTAATTTGATTGGCTAGTGTTGGTAACATTTCACCTAGCTGATTCTTGGCATTAAACACAGGAGATGGTGTTTATTCCTCCCTTTCTTTAAGTTCCCTGAAAGGTGATACAACAAGAAAGGGAACACAGATTTTGAAACTGCAACATTTTCATAAAGATGATTCTTGCAGTAAGTTTCATCACCCTAAGGATTAGAGCAGTACCAAGTGAGTGACCTCTGTTGCTGACGTTTGAGCTCTGTGTTTGTTCGCTGTGTATTAAGTGTATCCCCAGTGACATCCTGAGATGTTTCCTGGCTGCATGTTCTTGTGTGCATGCTCTGTAAAACCCATTGGATTTGATTAATGTGACTCTGTGCCACACCTTTTTTTAGTTTCTGAATTGTTGTCTATGGTTCCTTGTTAAAAGAAAGAAACCTGTTCCCTCTAAATGCTATGTTTATTTGTTTTCCTTTGATTCTTTCTGTATATGTACTGCACAATCAGGTTATGTACTGCACAATCAGGTTGACTAAAAAGGGAGATATTTAGTTTTTGGATAATTATAAATGGTTGAATTATCTTTAATATCTTCCCCCCATGTCCTGTTTATGCTTATGATCTAGCTTATGATCTTGGTATTCAGCTTGATGCCTTTTTTGGCACAGAGATAGAGAGGGAAACTAAGTAGAAGTAGGAAACCTTTAAGGATATCAAGTGAATATTTCCATCTTAAATATAAGGACCTAAATTAGTGGCGTGTTCAAGATGTGGAAGAAAAGTTTGCTTCCCTGATTAAAAACCTATTTAGAAAAATGCACATGTCACGGAGATGCATTTACACTTCCAAGTTTGTGCTTAAGATCCACAACCTCCATTGAAACCACATGAATCAAATAATTTGCCTTATAAATCTTTAAACTTCCTCTACCCTCGGACGAGCATCGGGATACTTGAATAGGAAAACATGACTGATTGTGTGTGTGTGGGTTTTTAAAAATTTTTTTTTTAACATTTCATAAAATGAGAGACTTCTTGTGCCAGATACTGCTGGCTGCCCACAGACATCCCAGCTCATCAGCTTGTAAGACCACACGGCCCTTTGCTCAGCTCTGGCCAACCATGCAATCGCGACCGCTCATTAGATTCTCTTAAAGGACAGACGCAACATCTGCGAAGAACATTATATCCTGTAACATCCACAAACTGTCATTCCCTCAATATGCCCGTCGCATTACTTTGCCAAGTCCACATCAGTTCAGGTACAGGGCAGAAGAACACTCAATGATCTGGACTATGGTTCTCATCTAACATCAATAAATATCTTTGTTCCCTTTAAACCTGCCAAACTGATTCAGGTTTCAATAATGCTTTATACAGCTTTAGACATCAACTTTAAAGGCCAGTCTGTTCACCACGACTCCCTTCTTGTGTGTAAGCGCTTGATAATAGATTGATAATAGAAATCTCTCCTACAAATGTACATGGATGATAAGAACTTGGACTTCAAACAAATATGACCACCAATTTTTTTTTTCTTTATTTTTGGAAAAAGTAACTCAATACACCTTGTGTTAAGTGCAAAGCTGTCCAGTACCCAGGCACTCAAAAACTAAAGTGGTTCAATTGTCTCTTGGCACATCAAGTGGTGGATAAGGCCATTGTCATTACACAGATTGCCTTACAGGTCTCCATAGGGTAATTAGGGTGTCTGCCGAGTGTCCACACTAATCTATGTCAGTATTAGGTCTGGGTTTTACTGTGCAAGGCTTGGCAATAAGACTTCACAAATGACATTTAGCAGTAAGTCCAGCAGAGTAGCTCAGCTTACCATAGTGCAAATTAATCTTATGAAGGGTTTTAAATCCACATTAGCGTGATTGAATTAAATCAGAATTATTGAATGCTCGTGCTTAAAGTCCCTTTAATACCAACAGCCATGACTATGACTTTATTAGGAAGAAAAAACGAGATAAAGTAGTAAGATAACCTAATATAACAGGATAAAATGCAATGGAAATATGTAAAATAAAGGCAATGTTTTTTTTATTAACACCAATATTTGAATTCTTAGATTTAGGATGTTAAAATATTCGAGTTACAGAAGCACCACAAGTTTATTTGCTGGGACAATGTCCATCCAAACTGCCCCGAGTGTCCATAAAGTTGGCATAAATATGAAGTTGACCTGAACTTGATCGCTTTATATTGTCGTCAGACGATAAACAGGGACACAACCTCAAACCTCAAACCGTTCCAAACCCTTCTCACTCCCTTACGGCTGTAATCAGCCCTGTACAGCTTCTGACAGATCCCTCTGCTGTAATGCACTACCGAATCTTGCCAGAGACCTGTCAAAAACTCCGAGGCCCTGTTTACAATTCTTGTCAACCACAGGCCTCCAAATCATTTTGAGAGTTTTAGTAATGCTCTGTGTAAAAGCACAAGCATATTGATGTACATGTCTTTGTCAACATCTATTCAGCTCACAAAGGGGCGGTTTGGCTGAAGGGACAATTTTTTTTTATTGAGAACGGATGACAGTCCAACCACTGTGGGCTGTGTGATTATATCTTAGATTTTTTTTTTTTTCAAGTGGTCGCGAGTTGAGTGTTTGATTGTACTTGTCGTGCAGAATTTAACCACTTTCATTGCATCGAGGAAAATATTCACTTTTATGGCAAAAATGATAATTCGGTTAGTTGTTTGCTTCGAAAAGACATTTCTTGACATGTATATATATTTTTTTCAGTCTTTATTTGAGTTAGATGTTAGAGTGCTTTGGTTTGACTGATTATCTCTGGGAGACATGCCAGTGTCTGCAGTGATTTATGTTGCCCACTCAAGATGATTTCTTCACCCCCCTCGCTCTTTCAGGCACATTGTGGTCTGTGGTCATATTACCCTCGAAAGTGTCTCCAACTTCCTCAAAGACTTCCTACACAAGGACAGGGATGATGTCAATGTAGAAATTGTTTTTCTCCATAAGTAAGTTAATTTTGTCTTTCTCACCCTTTGTAGCTTAGCAACAAACGAACTATTGCATAGGAGCTATATTTATGTGCTAACCCATCTTCTTTTTTTTAGTATTTCCCCTAATCTTGAGCTGGAAGCCTTGTTCAAACGCCATTTTACCCAAGTAGAGTTCTACCAGGGATCGGTTCTCAACCCTCATGATCTGGCCCGAGTGAAGGTACCGGCTGGTGGCGAGACTCCTGGAGCAATGAAAATCCTTAACATTTTTGACAGCTGTTGTTGAACTTAAGAGTAGAAACATTTTTCACAGATTAGCTGCAGTTGTGTGCGTCACTGATTAGCAGGCTGTAAACTTATTACTGTATAAATTCAGCTGACAAAGAGAGTAAAGAAAAAATGCAGAAGAATGATAATCTAATGATATCCATTTCAATTTTTTAGCCAAAATATATCAGGACAGAAGAAAGAAAGAAAATACTTTTTTTGTTGTTGTTGAGCAGATTTAAACCATCTGGTATATTGGATACTTTTTTATTAAATACAGACGTGCACTTTAATGTTGTCATATTTGTTTCTTTGGTACTCTACACATAGATCGAGTCAGCAGATGCCTGCTTAATCCTAGCCAACAAGTATTGTGCAGATCCTGATGCTGAAGATGCCTCCAACATCATGAGGTATTCTCTCTTCTGGACAATCAGTAACAACTGGCTTGCGGAGGTGTTATGTTTCCTTGCTCACTTTATCTGCCTGTTTTTCAAAGGGTCATTTCCATCAAGAACTATCACCCCAAGATCAGAATAATCACACAGATGCTGCAGTATCACAATAAGGTGAGACGTCTCGGTGCCCTGCATTGTGTAGTGTATGTTTGCTTCACTTCATCTTGGCCGCTCTCCAACCTTTCCTCACAGAAAGATTATGGCTGCAGTAAAATGGCAATCCTGTCAGCTTGAGAGCTATGTGGTGCTTTTAAGGATTCATGGTAACTTTGACATATAAGTGACTTTTTAAAGCATTCACTCGCTCAGCTGCTTACATGCTGTGCATGCTCCTGAAGAATGGACCTCACTTTTTTAAATGAAGAATTAATAGAGCAGCACTTAGCATGGTAAATAGTATTACAGGAGAAAATGTGAGCTTTTGAAAATGTGTCTTTTATATTTAATAATTGTGTGTCTGAATCACTGCATCTGTCATATGACATGGCAAGGAGATATGCAAATATGTATATATATATTTTTAATTCCTGTGAATGATGCCCTTTATGTATGGAAACTGGTACACTAACTGAGACTTGTACATTGTAAGGGATTTACCCAGGATGCTAACTTTTCTAGTAGTTAGCTGACTTTAGGAAAGGAACAGCTCTACATTTCTAGGATAAGCTAGTTAGTTTTTATTTATTTTATTGTATGCTAAGCTAACTGGCTGTTTATTGTAACTGTTTAATTTAATTTGCATTCACATGTTTGCATTTCAGCTTTGAACTAATTGAGGTAGATCATGTTAATTAGTGGACTTTTGTTATCCTGAATGTTGGATTTCAATACCACCGCATAAAGCCAAGCTAGCTTACCCCAGTTTCCAGTTTTTATGCTAACCCAGTTCCCAGTTCAAGCAGATATGAGGGTTGTATTAATGTTATCTGTTCCAAAAGAAATGTGACTCATATATACAGTTTTCTGTGTTTCTGACCTCTCTAACTTTCATGTGATGAAGGCCCATCTACTGAATATTCCAAGCTGGAACTGGAAGGAGGGTGATGATGCTATCTGCTTGGCAGAGCTGAAGGCAGGCTTCATTGCGCAGAGTTGTCTGGCCCAGGGTCTGTCGACAATGCTAGCCAACCTCTTCTCCATGAGGTCCTTTATTGAGGTAACAGAGTGGACTATTGACGAATGATTTCTCACATTGCATTTTTTGCACATGAGGTGATTTATTAAGGGATTATAGTCTAAATAAGAAGGTTCTCTGCTGACACATGGACTAGGTCTGTCAAACAGTGCATTCCCTAACAAAAATTGACATCTCTGTCCAGAGACGGGCTTCCATTAGTCTGTTTTCAGTCATTCTGGCACATCATATTTTATTGTGTGACATGTCATGTGGAATCTGTTCAGTGTTCTCTGCGGCTTAGAATTGAAGAGGTGCTTGCTTCTATCAAAAAACTGTTCTCATGTCATAAAGATGATAGATCAGCTTATAATGACCAGGCTGATGTTGTGCAGTGGGACATCTGCTGACCAGATTAGGCTGCTTTTGAAAGGAAAACTGTTCTTTTTTTTTTTTTTTCTTACTTTTTTTCTTAACCAACACATGTGACATTTCCCTGTTTAATTTTTTTTTTTTTTTATCAGATCGAGGAGGACACATGGCAGAAGTATTACCTTGAAGGAGTGGCTAATGAGATGTACACAGAGTATTTGTCCAGTGCCTTTGTAGGCCTCTCCTTCCCCATGGTCTGCGAGTAAGTATCACTCTTTGATCAACACGACCACTCTCAATGGTAGGTAGCTTAAAAAAATATATAATGCAAAGTAAGAATGACAAAAAAGAGGAGTGTTGGGATGTAAGGCTGTGGATTTTAACGGTTTTTGAACACATCAGTCATCTGCTTATATCCTGCTCTTCTCTAATGTGTGCACTTGTTTTACAGGCTGTGTTACGTGAAACTGAAGCTGTTGCTTATTGCCATTGAATTCAAGTCTGAGCAGAGAGAGAGCAGGTTGGTATAGCGGATCTTTCCGGAGCATCTGATACAGCTGTGATAACAGTGAACTGCACTGTACTTTGCTAAAAGTAGATCTTCTAATAAGATATCTCGATTTTTCTTTTCCTCTCAAGTCCTCTTTGCAGCTTGTTATCTATGCAGTTGATATTCATTTTTCAGATCAATTTGGTGAACACTTGAGCATTATTGTGTCACCATGAGGTACTCCCTATAATAAATAATTCAGTATTTATTTTTTTCTGAGCTATTATCCTCTTTAAAAAGCAAATAAATGGGATTGATATTGGCCAAGGATTCGGGTCACAAGCTTTTAGGTAAACCTTGCAGGTATGCAGGACAAAAAAAACTTGAAATGTGGTTAAACTGTGATTGGTTTCAGAGAAGTACTAGGTACTGCACTGGATTAACTTCATGTTCACGGTCCTTTTTCAGAGACAAACTTCACACCTAAATAACAAATTTGCTTCACGTTTAAATTTCGCATAATGTGTCTCCTGCACTTTTTACTGTGCTCCTGCTCTGTCTTTATGATTATCACTAACTCTACATGAGTGCTGGTTTTATCACCAATAACGACACAAAATGCATTTTTTCAGTAGTCTCAATTTGCCAAATCCCACTCACCCTTCCCCACTCACCTGTGTCAAATGTTTGTGTACTAACGAGGTTGCATGGTTGATTTAATATTAATTAAAGATGATGTAAATTCTAGTTGATACTAATTGAATACACTTTATATAACCCAGTGGGCTAAATTGTGTCCGTGGTCCAATCACTTTCAAGGTAGTTGAGCTTTTTCTTTTACGTTTTTTTTCTTTTTGTACATTTTATAGTGACACCCTAGAATATTTTATTTATACTTTCAAACCTTTTATAAAACATATTCTCTGCCCTCTATGTACTTTTTGTAAAAGATGAATAACTTCAAACACTGTTTTTTCTTCATTTTTATGACTCTGAGTTGCAAGGCCCTCAGACAAAGACAAAGTTGCATCACACGCTGCCATATAATGAAAACATAGCTTGTAAATGGGCAGAGAAGCATTAGCAACAGCTATATTCTCCTCTTCTTTTATATTCATGATAACTGTTTGATTTGAGATTTTTTCTTGTTGTTTGCAGAAGCCGAAAGCGGTATGCCCTCTACCTTATCTTACTTCCAAAGTTCCACCCAATCGTCACCACTTTAAAGCTTCTGACTTTGGGAGTTTCCCCAAGGATATTTTTCCAAACACTATCTCACAGGCCTCTTTTTCTAACTCCTTTTTATGGTGTCCCTTGTGCTTAATGCACTAACTTCTTTGCAGGCAGAGAGAGGATAGATAAATTGGACATGTTTGTAGAAGTGCTGTTTTCTTTTCTTTTTTCTTTTTGTCTTTGCTGTTGTCGCTGTACCAAGGCCAAACACTCACCCTCTCCATATCTACCTCTTATTTGATCTTTTCATTTTTGTCCTCAAGCAAACTCCTTTGCTCCTTTAGTTTCTTTCTCTCACACTTTCAGTTCTTTTTCAGTGTCGCTCAGTCGTTACCCTACTGTTTCTTAGCCTTGACGAGCCACGTTTTCCACTCATCGGTGTTTAAAAGTCTTCACCAGAACAGTACAGTGAGGAGTTTCTGTATGCATATCTCAGACATCAGATATGGTGTTGATAGGCACTGATATCCTACAACTTTGGATATAATCTTTAAATAAAATAACTGATTACACGCCACTGCTGTAGGCGGTGATTGATATAGCAGCATGGTTTTTTTTTTGTTGTTTTTCATGGTTTTATTATACCAGCAGCACCTCACCAATCTTTGTTTTTTCATGATTTTTTTAAGACACTAGAAAAGGCATGGAGCTGTTGATTTTGGATAGCATTGAGTTTATCCAAACTGAAGTTTTATTTATGTGGCCCACATTTCACTCTTGCATCCCATCACCCTCTCATGTCCTCATTCCCAAATGTGTATCCATCTGTGCATGTATGCGCGTCTGCGTATGTGCTATCACCTCGGAAGGGAGAGTTTGTGTTTTGAGTGTGTGTGCGCGTGTGCGAGTGCGGAGTTTTGTGCATCTCAGCCACCGTGTACAGTCATGCTCGTGCGTCTCTCGAGTAGATGTTCTTAAGTGAGGTCACTTCCTGTCAGTTTGGTGTTTGAGAAACAATCCAACTGCACAGAAGTTACTGCAACCGTCTGCATCTACGTACCTGTCCCTATACCTGTACTGCAGTGGCTATGCCTTTCTGTTTTATTATTGTCCTCTTCATACTGTTTGGTAACTGCATGCTACGACACTATCACATAAAGTGTTTGATGCTTGCCTTGTTGCTCACAATATGAGGTTTTGATGCGTCTTCTTGGCTTTTATTCACCAGTTTGCACACGACTCAAGAAAAATGTCTTGGATAGTTACACCTGTAAAATCTCAGATTTGGGCAGCAATGTTTGTGGAACTGTCTTGATTTGATTGGTTTCTTTGTTTTATTTTTGACTAAAAAAGCATGCCAGGTGTAATGCCTGTTAACTTCTCTGGGGGCCATTCAATCTGAGTGTATGTTAGGTGCTATTTTACTTCTTGTAGTATGGAAAGAAAATTCTGATCTGCATGACTGGTGCAATTTGATCACATCCCAATATGTATATGGATTCAATTGCTCCCTTAATAGTTTTTTTTTTTAAATTTCCTCCCTAATGTAACCTTTTTCCAGAGCTCAGAGGAAAGATGTTGTGCGATAATATACTTGTTCCCTTCTCCCCCGAATCTAGACCTCACATACTCTTTCAAAATGAATGACTAAAATGCCGTGAATAGTTATTACACGCGTAAGTGTGAATCAAGTTGGTAACACACAATCAGTCGAGCTTTTCTCGTTTATCAATGTTGCTTAAAATGTAAACAGAGCAGCGAATGAGACAAAAAAAAAAGAATCAAGATCATCTTTCGCCTGGGCTTGTATTTTGAAAGAGTGACCCTTAAAGGTTTGTGGGTACAGTGTTTTGATATCTTACTTCACACTCACTTCATTGATGATTGTTGCCCACAGGTAACCATTAATGACCGGGGTGTGTGTGCGTGTGCGTGTGTGCATATTTGTGTGTGGCGTCTACTTTTTGTCTTAGTCTAATTAATGGGGAATGATACAGCCAATCACTTAAAGTACCCTTGACTATTAAACCAAATCCCACTTTATCACAAAAGAAGCGAGTAATTATTATTTATTACAGTAACACATTTCTTTTAAATCAAAATATAATGAAAATGATTAAAGCAGTTTGTACTTAACTAGACATGCATTACAAGTATTTGTAATGGAGCAACACATTTGGACCAGTCTTATTTTCCCCTAGCAGAGTCTAGAGCAGACTCAACTGTAAGAATTAGCTCAGTATAATAAACAGAAAGAGCTGTTCATTCCCTTGCATTCCACTGTCAAGTACTAACTGAGATACACCTACTGGACATTCTCTGTACGACAGCCGTGTCTCAGTGGACATCATAACATCTGTTCTGACTAGATGACTGCATTTGAGTGCTGAGACTAAAACCACTCCATGGCCATAATTTTAATTCTTTCTGCCCTCGTCCCTCTACTTGTATCTCTCTGTCCTTCTCTTCCACCCCCGGGGCAATCCAATGCCACTTCGTAGAGAAAAGAATTAAAATTCAATGTGCGATCATTACTGTTGTACATTTTTGTCCATCCGTGTGAGTATCGCATCAGTAAATTGCCTCAAATCAGAAGGAGCAAGTGTGTTTGTGGTAACTTACAAGACACACGTAACAAAGGGAAGGATAATGTGTTTAAAATGATGCAAAAAAGGAAGCCCGGCAAAGTCCAGATTCAATTTTAGGGCTTCAACAAGTGTGTGTACCATTCCTCTTGATTAGCATGTTGTGTGCATGCATTTTGTGTATGTCCAGATGTTAATGAGCATTATTTGTCTGTATGTCTTTGATTACCCAGCATTCTCATCAACCCGGGCAACCATGTCAAGCTGCAGGAGGGAACACTGGGATTTTTTATCGCTAGTGATGCCAAAGAAGTAAAAAGGTAATTGGGCCATCCTGCCAAACGGCGGGGTCACTAACCGTGTCAGTTGACAAATGAATAGGAGCGCTAAACATGTTTACTGTGTCACTTTTAGAGCATTTTTCTACTGCAAAGCTTGTCATGATGACATCACAGACCCCAAACGGATCAAGAAGTGCGGCTGCAAGCGACGTGAGTAGCTGTGCCTCTATTTTGCCCCACTGGCACCCTTCCTTCCCTTCCTTCTCACTCCAAAAACCAACCTATGGGTCTCGTCTTTCTCTTTATTCATAGGTGTGCACATGGTTATTATGCCTTTCATTGTGTTGTTGTTCTTCTTGTACTCTGAATCTGTGTTTTAAACATTATATTGCCATTATACTCTTAGGAAAGTGTTTGATATTGGTCCCATTTGAGCTTCCATAACCCCCATTATAGTATGATCATAAGTCAAAGCACTTTTGTTTCTTTGTCAAAATGTAGCTGTTGCCATCTTTAAATGTCTATTCATCTTGCTTTAACCACTGAATCACCACTTTATTTGCACAAACTGAGACTGTATTGCAGTGAATGAAATGCAAAGTGCTAACATGTAAGTAGAAAGCGTAAGAGTCTAAACCAGGCTTGTTTCTGTATCGCATTTGAAACATTAGAAAGTAGAGCAGATCCACCAAGTGCCCTATGTTGCAATTATAAAGGATGGGTTCAGGTTCTGCCAGTGCTTTACCTGCTTCACCTAGTTTAATGAAATTCAGCCTGGTAGTTTCTGAGTACTGATCACATGCTGTGCCTCAGCCTCAGCTTGGTGGAGGAATTAGGAAACATATCCTCTTACTTACATATGAATGCTCTCAGTGAAATATTTTAAGGCTGTTTCATTCTTCTCAATTGTTTTATAGGTCACAAATGTTATGGATAGGGTTGCTAGCTGTTAATTTTCTAATTTAGCTATGCAAACACCCACATCAAATCAGTGAATGTTTTATGCAGATACAACATTACCATTAAGGCAGGAAATGCACGCAAATACATCCTGACCTATGTGCAGGCGATACTTGTCAGAATGTGTTAGCTGATGGATAAATAATTCAGGTTAATATTCTATGTTTCCATAAAAGGTCACAGGCTGTTACGGTGAGCAGTCCGTTACAGACATAGCCTGGTTTTAAAATAGGTACCCTCCAGTTCCTTCTTTTGTCTGTGCCATTTCAATTATTCAGACGCTTTCTGCTCTGTCAACTCAATAGAATCAACAGGTTTTTCACACTCTAGTTTTATTTACCACAACTATTTACCTCTGTTTGCTTTCCTACTATCTTCATGTCTGAGACTCAGCTGATGGCGTTATGTTTTATCCTATTACATTTGTTGCTGACAAGAGAGTTGCATTAAAAAGATGACAGTTCCATTACTGTAATGGGATTCTGTCCAACTGTATGTTCTGTTCTGTCATGTTTTGTTCTCTTCTGTTGTTTTTTTCCCATGTTTCTTTATGACCAGTGACACACTTTTGATGTATTTCCTTCCCTGCTGCCACTGGAAAACACCACTTTATTTTAACTACTCACTGGTAGTGATTTATTGTGAGTAAAATGAAAATGGGTGTCTAATTACCCAGAGTGCAGTGCAAGTGTTTTTTTTTTATTATTTTTTTATTTCTCTTCCTTTTCAGCAAATAGTATATTGTATCTATGTTGCATGTTACCGGTGTAGCTTCTGCATCCCTCTCCTCGCCTCCCATTTCTACACCGTGCTCAGAACAAACTGAATCCAAAACAGCAGATATTGAACTCGCACCAGCATCAGGCCTCTGCTCCTCAGAGGCTCAGCCGGCTGATGATCTGATTTGTTGGAGATGACAATTAAATAAAGCGCTACACGATTGGATGCGGCCGATGAGGTGTGCAGTTTTTGCTCACTCTTTGATCATCAAACCAAACACGTATTTGGCATTTAAAAGCCAATCTGCTGCGAGTCTTGTGTCATTACATGTGATTAACCTCTTTATAGTGTATTTGCTCAGAGAAAGAACAGAAGAATAAAAATCTGAGATGTCGTACATTAAAAACAGATTTAGAGGAACTAACACACGGGGGAAAGATCTACTGCTATTTAAAATGATCTGCTTTCTGTCAAAGGTAGTTTTGTGTGGCAGAGAGCAGAAAACGTCCTTCCGGGATGTTCTTCAAATCCTGTCAAGCTACGTTGCCAAAACACAATCAAAACAATCTGGTCTCCCCTTTTACCCCCCTTTGCTGTGATCTCAGCCCCTTTATAAACTCCGGGCCCTGGCCCAGCCTGGGCTGATGTTTCAGAGATCACTGGTTCTTTTCAGAACTGCACGAGCCTTGTGCCTTTCAAACACAGACCGTCGTTGGGCCATTTTGTTTAACTCGCTTTACTGGGAGACAAGTCTAGGATTAATACGCGGCATTGTCATAATTTTCAGTTCCCACTAGATGGTAGTGCCGTGCCAGAGTCTTGTGCGGTAATAGATATCCATAGTTAAATGGTGATGTCTGTAGAGGAAACTCTAATCCCCTGAGACCTGTTCAACAAAATTGCAAGGATCAGATGGGTGCCTTTTTGTTTTAGGATAATAAATCAGTTTGTACGGCTTTACAGATTTATCATCCTTAACATGTTATTTCACATTGCTTTTATATCTATATGTTACAATATAAAGCAGGGTATGGGGAGGCGTGTGCACTTGTGTACAAAGTTGGCTTTTTCAAGCAAAAAAGTATTTGTTTTGTCCACTTTTATGTGCCCCACTCTGACAGGATACTGCACTCTCTGTTAGTTATTGCTCAAAGGTTCACCTCTTGAGCCAGCAGTAATCTTTTTCCTTGCACTGTTGCTGAATAAGGAGGCTTTAGGTGGATATCAGAATGTTGCTTTCTGTGGGACATCCTTCATATTCAACGTAGCACCCTGATAGCTTCTGTTTACAGAATATTAGTGGTTTGTAGGCAGTAGTAGCCAATCAAGCCCACACAGACAGTTGATCAGGGTCGCTGTTATGTTGAATCTTCAGTTAGGAATGCCCTGAAATGGACACCTTGTCATCCTAAACCAGAATCTAGGTATTTGTGAAGTCAGAAGTAAAATACATTGTCTTTGTGTGTGTGCGTGTGTGCGTGTATGTGTCTTCTGTCTTCCATTGCTCCCCTTCCATTTGTCAGAAGTCTACATTGTGGTATACACACTCATGGGCTGCTGTTATTAGGTACACCTGTGACGCTAAATGCAGACCAATACAACAGCTCTGCCATAGAGTCTACTTTTATTTCAATTCTTCATCTTACTCCATTTGTCCACTTGATTACATGCAAAGAGGGTTAAAGACTGAACATGTTTACAGGCCAGAACGTGACAACTCACGTTTACTTAAAAAATAAAGAAGCCTCGTAAAAGCAGAGTTTACAGCAGAGCTGTTGTATTAGGTTATGTTAGATTTCACATGTGTACCTAATAAAGTTGCCAGTGAGCCCACATAATATGTTCCAAGCGCCCAAACAAAAACACCGAAGCAAAGAAACTTCAGCATGACCTGACGGCCTCACTGCACTTGTCCGCCATGTTCCCAAAACTGTTTCATTACTGTGAACAGTTATCTGTGTACTTCTCCTTGTTGCCAGGACTTAAGCTTCATTTCCTGCATGCTTTCCACATGCTAGTAAGGCACATATGCATGTCACAGGATACAGCAGTCCCTGATGCATTCATCTTATGGGATATGATCTGTGTTTCCCATTCTTTCCTTGGCCAGGAGCTGAAAACATATTACTTCATTCAAGGTCTTATTTTCCAATGTGAGTCAGAGTCAAAGATGCTGAAAGCATCTTTGTAAAGGTGCCAGACAGTATTAGTCTGCTGTCTGTTTACACCTTGGCAATGAGAGAATGGGGACCAGGGACTGTTTCTGTCCAGAGTCACAGCAATCTAGAGATGCTACTCTGGGGACTTTCACTCCCGCTTCCCTCAGGGTTCAAGGGCTTCACACACCACTCACACATACACTTGGCTGTAGGCTGACTTTTGTAGCTAAAACTTTTGTCTGGCGTAATACTACTTTTACATCCTTTTTTACTTAATTAGCGCACCAGATCGTCATCTTGCCTGTTTTCTACTTGGGCGATAATTGAAAAGAAACATAAGTGGACTGGAACCATTTGAAAGATTCACTGGGCTGTATGTGCTGAATTGATGCACACAACAGCAAGCTTGAAAAAAACAAAAACGTAGGTGTATGTAAATGCTCAAATGCTTTTATATTGTATGTTGGAAATGCTAGTTGGGAACCAGTTTTGCTGGTTGGTTGAAAGACAAAATTACATGTATTATAATGGCCCGTGAATGGTTATAAATTTATGGTATACGGAGAACATTAGATAAATTCTTTAAACGGAAATTCAGAATTTCCCAGGTACAAACTAGTGTTTAAAATCAGGCACACTGCAAACAATTGATAATTTGGGGATATTAAGTAGAGGATCAAATCAATGGTTAATTCTTCATTTTCTTGTGAATTATACTTCCCATTTGTATCTTCAAACATGACTTCAAATTACATCAAAACAACAACTGTGTAACTAACACTTTAGCGTGTAATAACACCGTTTAAGCACATGCACATCAGAGTGAAGTCCCTTTGGGGAGTGGAGCAGTGAAATTGCAGGTTTTGAATATAGCATGATTTAGCCAGTCTAGCCAGTAGACTAGTGTGATGCCTTGGACAGAACCGCTACAGCTGCATGATGGGATACAGGTACGTGATCCACTCCTTTAGCCAAATGGATAGAGGATGTACAAATGTATGAAACATTGTATGAGGTTTGCTGCTGAAGACATTGCTCATGCCTCTCTTCCCCGAATGCCTCCCTACCCTCTTCCCTTTCTCCCCACCTCTCTTTCCCACTGTTATAATTTTGCCTTTTTGACTTGTTACAGCCTTAGCGCACAGCTTGAACTCCTAAGAGAATCACCAGCATTATGACTGTTGTATTTTTAATTGATAATATTATAATAATAGATAATGTGTCCAATTTAGAGACACTTTTAAAATGGCAAAATGAAATGTGCCGGCTGACTTGTTAAGGTAAATGTAACTCTTGGAGTTTGTTAATATAACTTGGGGCTCAAGCCTGTGGGAGCAGGTGACTAAGGCTTGCACTTTCTGATGAAGTTACCTTCCGACTTCCCCTAGATGTATATTTCTCCTTTTGCCATTAACCTGCTGCTTTTCCTCTCCTCTCATCCCAAAACATGACTGTAGCCAAGATGTCCGTCTACAAACGAATGAAACTGGCATGTTGTTTTGATTGCGGCCGTTCAGAGCAAGACTGCTCTTGCATGTCAGGCAGTGTACATAGTAACATGGACACCCTTCAGAGGGCCTACCCACTTTCCTCTGTCTCTGTTCATGATTGCGCAACCACTTTACGTGCCTGTAAGTTACACCGCCCAACACATGCTGTTACGTGTCTGTGGTGCGTGCTCTGTGTATCGTACCGTGTACCATACCGTACGTGTGTGCGTGCGTGAGGTGTAATTTGTTTATTGTGACCCCATTGTTTGTGTACCCGTGGTCTATGTGTTTCTGTGTTGTTTTACTTTTTTTTCTATATTGATCTTATTTTTTTTCTGTATCTATCTCTCTCTTTCTCTATATCTGGTTAGATTTTCTTTGATTTATAGTATGTGTGGTTGATAAGTGGTGACGTGGCTCAGTGGTGGTGCTGTAAGTACTGTAGATGTTAGACATGTGGCTCCCGCATGCAGCACCAGTCATGCAGTCGTGTGATAATGTCACTGTTGGAGCGTGGTGTTTTATGTCTCTTTTTAACTGTTTCAGGTAAGATGTCTGAATACACAAAAATGAAAGATTTTATTCTGCATTTTAATGATAACATTTGTTAATTGTGCCTTTTGTACATTTACTTTGAAGACTCCTTCAAACCTCTGAGTTAACCCTTTTTTAAGTTTGTACACTTTTCAGTTGACGTAGGTTTTGCTTTTTTCTGCATTTTCTTTTAACCTTGATGAGAAACTATACTAAGATTTTGGCTTTGCTTTCATGTGGATTTTAAATGAATCATAAATGAAATACCATTTAAGCCTCTATCATCTTGCCAGGTCTTAAAAATGATGAGCAGGGCACAGATAATAATGGAACTGAAACCAAATTTTACTTATGCAACGGTTAAGAAAACATACATGCATTTCCCCCCCACATTAATTGTATTGTTCAGACTTGTATTTCCTGTACTTCATCTGTCCTGCAGCCATTGATAGTTTGTCACATTTACACGGTAGGAACATGGCAGTGAAATAGGAAGGAGGAAAAAATCAAATGAGAGAAAAGGAATGCTTTATGTAGCTGGGAAGAGTACAAGAAAATAGATAAAGGAACAGCAAAGAGAAGGAGAAATTAAAATCAAAAAGGAAACTATAAAAAGTGCTTCTGGCTTGATAAAGGAAAGGTAAGAGGCCCGAGGCTCCTAGAAGATCGCCTTAAATCTGTTTTCCTTTTGAGTGGATGGGAAATACTAAATTGTTTGTCAATTAGACATGGCAGCAGTAGGCCTAGCTATCAAAGCCTTGGGTTCAGACATACAGATCTGATTTCCTTCTCAACATTCTCCCACCGTCTGCCGACTCAGCCTAGATTAGTGTCAAACATGCCATGATGAGTTTGGCTTGGCCTCTTGTAGTTGGGCCTGCGCTGATATCCCTCGGTACCAATTACTGGCCATTACATGGTTACTGATCTCACTTCTCCCTCAACCCCCTGTAGGATTTCAGGAAAGCCTCCTCTGTCTTAGATTTCTTTCTCTTTTTAACCCTGACTTCATCTGAACAAAGTGAGTTTAGTGAAGGAGCGCATTGGGCTTTGTCAGTCAGGGATTGTTGGATTTCCTTTCCCTATTTCCTCTTTTGTTTTTTTTTTCCACCAGGCTGAGAGGATAAGACATCTTTATCCACGATGACTTCATACGCTTCTGAACTAATTTTTTTCTTGCACTTTGATTATTGATCTCTTGGATAGCACTGCTTCGTTTAAGCTGCTGTGTTCCTACACGTGCCAAATTAGGGCCACATGTGTCTGTGTGTAGCACAGACAGCTATCAGCAAGTTAGGATGGCAGAAGTATACAACTGTAAACTGCTTTAACGACTAATACAATATTTATTATGGCAACTTTTAACACAAACTCATTAAATGAGTAATGATATGTATGCAGATGAAGTGGTTAGAAAAATGTAGTTCTCCATTGTTCTTTTTTATTATAGGCAGTTAACATATTACTTTATTCTAAATTCTTTGGCTACATCAAGAGTTTTTTTTGTCTGTAAATGAAACAAGTCTTTTTTGTGACTTGACTTTCACTATTTTAGAAAATCTTTAGTCATTTAAGAGGTTTCAACTTGGTTTGCTAAGCTCTGGACAAGGGATGTGGGCCTGGGGTTAGGGAGATGGTTTCGGCTTGTCCACAACCTTCTGGGCTGTGTATATGTGCGCATGTGCACATCTTGTGTGCGCAACAACATGCACTTGTATCTCGGTGTCTATGCATGTGTGTGAATCTGCATCTCATTGCTGGGGACCTTATCCATCCTGACACAGAAATTATGTTTGCATTTTCCCAGCCCTGCTGGTTCATCACCAAACTTGCCCTGACAGCTCCTGTCCACCAGGCAGACCTCCACCCCCTCGACCACCCTCCCCCTCCCACCCTGTCCTACGCCGCCTCGCAATGCCCCAGATGCTAGCCAGTTAGTCTGCCGCCTTTGCGGTGCGGGCAGATTGCTAGAGACAGATGCCAGGGCCACTGTGGGTCTCTTTTTGAGGATCTGTGTCATAGGCCAGCCCTGGGCCCTCACTGTGACCTTTACTGCTGGAAGATACTCTGGAAGAGAGTGGGGAGTGTCAGCAGCTCTGAGTTCAAGTGCTTACTACATTAGTAGTTCTAGTGGTACCGGTCTTTAATATCTTCTTGGTCAAGGTCAAAAACTGTAATTACCAGAGAATTAACTGCACTGGCAAAAGTGGAGACCTTTGTGAACCCTTTAAAAGTACAACCCCAAAGATCGTGCACTGAGCTCAAGTTATGAAAAAAAAAAACCCTAATTTTTAAAATCTCTATTTGTATAAGACTTCTGGACTGCATGCGAAAATCAGGTATCTATGCATTAGTGCTCTGTTAGCGCAGCTGTTTTGAGCAGCTGTTGTCTGTTTTGGATTTATACATGCACTGAAGTATGTATTCGTTTTCTTTATTTCCCATTGTGGCTTTATTTGTTCCGCCTCACACTTCCCATCATTTTTAGATATAAAAAACCCCCCACGAAACTCTATTATAAAATGGGGAAAAAATGGAATTGCTAAATCTACACGGAAATGATGTGACATGTAATGTAGTTCTTTCTTTTTTTTTTTCAAATGTATTAAAACCAGCCATTAGACCGTCATTACATCTCATTACAGGTGTAGTACACTTTCCTAAAAGCATGGCTCACTCTGTGAATGGACAGTTCTTTCATTCATCTGTCTGCCTTTTATGTGCCATCACATCATACTGTAATCAGTGCCACCATTAGGGTTTTACAGTGATTTTTAATTATTTATACTTTCATTTTTTGGTTTGTGCCCTCATACCTTTTGGTGAGACAACATCAGATTTACATTTGATTTAATTTCCATCTACGGCTCTTATGTTGATGTCTTTCCTAATGTGTCTCTTTCATTACACCCTCTCTCCTTGTGTGTGACCTGCCACTTGTCTTTGCATCCTCCCCAGCCAAATATAAGTATAACGGATTTGTCAGATCACGTAAGTGTGTTTCCCTGTCCTTCTGCCATAGCTTTGTGTATAGAGTATAGCTCCCTCAGCATGTCATATAACATTCTTAGTAGCGATGCTCTGCTTAAGTATTTTTGTATTTTTACTGTAAAAAAAAAAAAAAGGAAACCAACTTTTGAAAAACTTTCAGTGTTTCTTTTAAAATATCCAGTTTATTTATATTTAACTTAAATATGATAAAATCATTTTAACATATTTTGATAGCAAACTAAAGTACTGAGATCATTTTGTGTTTGATAACACTATGTAGATCCATGAAATATTCTTTTTGTATTGTGCTGCATGTAGCAGCAGATGGCGCTACAACACCAGGAAACAGTGGAAGCCATAAAGAGGCTGGCGTTCGATTCAAAGCTGATTGCAATATAGGTAAATCTTTGGTAAATAATTGTTAAATGACTTCCCCCCCCCCTCCTTTATTTTACTGGTTAAGAATACATTTCACTTTTGAAATGTTATTTGTCACCTCTAACACTTTGTGTCTACATTTTAGATGTATTTGTTATTATTAGGCATACTGACAATAAAGGCTTTTTTTTGGTTTCCTTTATTAAATAATGGCTGCCTCACCTGTTAAGCAAACTAAAAGGAAGCGCAGTAATCATAAGTTTTTTTTTCTTCCCTTTTTTAACTCAATAGACCACAATGCATGGCTTTAAAAAGCTCTTTCATGCAGTTGCAATGCAGCTGAAGAACAAAGCTCGCTCATGCAGCAAACACTGTAAAGGCAAAGCCAGCTTAGCTCACATAGTAAAGTAAACATTTTTACTTGTTATTCCTCCGCCTCATCATCCAGTTTACATTGGGTCACGGCGATCTGATAAGGCTTGCATGCAGGACAGTACCGTCATGTGATTATCATTTCGAGAAGGGACAGTTGCCGTCTGGGTTGTTCAGGATGCACAGTGGACCTGCCAGGGCGGGTGAACACTCTGTAACGCTGCACGTGTTTGACAAGGGCCAGATGAATCCAGGAGCTATCGGTGGCGCCCTGTAAATCAAGGAGGCAGCTGACGGCTGGGATAAACGTCTGTTTATCGCCCAGGGCCACCCAAGCATGCTCTCTCCTCCAAACAACCAACCAACCACCCTTCAACCAAAGGGAGGAAAAGGGCTCCGCCTCTCCAAGTCAACTTTGCAACCAGATATTTTACTCATCTCCCACTGCTGTCTTCCTACAGTGTGCCATGACCCTTTCAGTACATACAAACATGCGGGTTGACTCTGCAGCCACAGATGGACTGTGTGTGAGTGTGTGTTTCTGTGAGTTTGGTGAAACGACATGCTGAACATATTTGGTACATATGCGAGTATTTATTCTCATACTCAAGCGATTTAGTGTAATAGTGAAAATTCCAAATGCTCTGTTTTTCAACATTTTTCATGCGGAATTAAATCACACTTGTGTACATAATCCAAAAGGAATCCAATACATGTAAAATGATTAGATGTTTTGAATTTATAATATTATAAATATTTAGTTCTATTTGTTGACATTATTGTGGTGTGCCACGCTCACTTGAAGTGACAATATCTAATTGGTTTTGACTGGCTTTAGCCAAGCCATGCCTCTGCTTTGTTCTACCCGAGCGCAGCACAAATGAGAAGTAAAGTTAAGAGGCTTCTAATGAATTTAACACAAATGAAAAGCAAATTAAGAAGGCTTCAACTATTTTTAGGAAATTCTACATGGTTCCTGCCTTTATTTATTAACATTATTATTAATATATTTTTGCTTTAAGCTGGTTCAGTCAAAACTTAAGTTGCATTTTTTCTTAAATAGTGATGAGATATTCATTTTAACATACTGTGAAATAATGATTGTTTTATGGAATTTACCCTGAAATATCTATTTAACAAAATCTAATTTGAAATACAATAACACTTCTTTACTCAGTCATTTCTGAGCATTTAAAGCAGGCGTTTTCACACTCTTTGTTCTCCACTATTTGACAGTAACGGATGAAGTTAGACCGCCTTTTCAAAACAGAACACTTAAAACCACCGGCTGCATCTCCACCTCCATCACCTCAAATGTATTCCTTCCCAATGCCCTGCACCCCAGCCAGGACCCCCTGGTCAGCCCTGGCACAGTCAACATCCCTCTCGTTAATAACCGTAAAGGATGCCTGCTCCACATGCGGCTGGGGCCCGGGGACGACCCCTCGCAATTGCGCTTCAGTATCTCGGGTCCAGGAGACGTGGCGACCAGATCCCTGGCTGAAAGTCGACTGAACCGGGCCCGCAGTCTGCCAGTGAAATACCGCTGCCACCCCAGTAATGCCATGCTGCTCAGTCACAGTAGGCACTGTAGGTTGGCCCCTTAGCGGGATGCATCAGTCAGTAATGCTGTCCCGTCTCTTCATTTTGTCTTGTTTGCTGCATGACGGCTCACTCTGCTGGAGCTGCTGCTGTTGTTTCTCCTGCTGCTTTGCACAGATCTGGCTGCTAGTGCAGTGGCTGCTACTGTCTATATGAGATAACTTTTAAGCGCCGGGATAAAACAGGTGAATTTACTGTAGACAACGTGCTATTTCAGAAGTGGCGCTAGGTGCTGTGAGCTCAGGGATTTTGCACTAATATCATTATGTAGTGGGGAAATGCAGCGTGGTGTCCGTGAAAGCAAAAAGTTCAATTGTTTTAATGTTAAAAAATTAAGTTTAAACCAAGAGGAGTTTGTCAAATGGTATAGCAAGGAAAGCATACTTTCTGCTGTGTGGTATTTTCAAAGTACATCAGAGAGAGAATTATTTGTAAAGTGTAAAATGCTTGTGATATTAGCTATTCTGATTGCCCAATTGCATAAAAGAAATGTCAGAGAATGACATTTTATTAGAAGGCAAAGCCATATTTCTTATCTTTTATTAGCAGAATTAGGTGACAGCATAGAATGGGTGCTCAGAGAATAATGAAATTCAACATGCTTGGAATAACCGCGGCTTGCAGCGCGCACATTGATTTGCACTAATATCATGCTGTGTTATTGATTTCTAACCAAAGGACTAATGCGGGTTTGAAGTGACGGTGCACTTGACATTTGCGCTGGGAGAGCGTAGATTGGATAAGAGTATCTGGGTGCCTGTCTGAAAGCTCTTGAAACTCACAGACAGTGGAGAAGATCAGACTACTGTTAGCTTGACTGAAATCTTCAGACAGCTGGGCCCGGACTCACTCCGGCTGCTCTTTCTCATTCTCTCTGTCTGGCTGGGACTCAAGTAAAGTTTGAGAAACAGTGTTTTTGTTTTTAGATGATTTTTTTTTTCAACCTAGCGAAGCATGGCTGACAGAAAACCGAGCTCAAATGTGATCAAATAATCTTTAAAAAAACAAACAAAAGAGGACTATAAAATAACACAGCATTGTTCAGCAAAACATGAAACAAAGACGCTGTATATTTAATCCGACACAAGTTTTCACAAGTGTTGGGGTTCAAGTAGTTTCATTAGGAAGTCAACTACGCACTCAAAATTCATCTCCATAACCTGTATTTATATCATTGTCATTGCTTTTGCCCATGCCCCAGTGACAATAACAGTCTGTAGCATCACATTGCAATTAATGCTTTAGGTAAGCATGGTTACTTGGATGTAAACTGCTAGAGGTCCAACCGCCTGCAGAGTTCGGTGGGTGAACAGACGCAGTGAAGTGTCAGTGGAGGATGTGCAATATTGCACCTTAGTATAGCCACAACATGGGGGACATTTTAAAAAAAAATTCTTATTTTTTAAATAAACCTTCCTTTTAGGTCATGAATTGTTTTTTCTCCATGGTTTCCTCTGGCTTTTTTCAGATTTAATCATTTGTCCATTACTAATATTTTCTCTCTCTATTTTTATTTCCCTTCCATTTTGACACATTGAATTATTAATTTTCCTTTTCTTGCGTTCAGTTTCTTTTTTTGTGGTTTGCATTGAATGATTGATTGATTGTTGCCTATTTTCATGTCAGGTCCAGCTCTCTTTCTGAACCGTTTGTCTCTGCTCTGACATTGTGCGCATGTGTTTTCAGTCGAAGACGAGCATCCGTCAACGCTCTCGCCCAAAAAAAAGCAGCGCAACGGAGGGATGCGAAACTCACCCAACTGCTCGCCCAAAATGATGAGGTAAGAGATGCTGATTTTATTCTTCTTCCAGCCTTCAAACTGGGAGTGAGAGGAAGACAGATATAAGGAAGATGGGAGGGAGCATGGGGAGGGGGGGGGGTATGTGTCTGAGAGATACTTCAGAGGCGTATGCTGCTGATGGTGAGATGGTGGGAGTTTGGATGGATGGGAGGGGGCAAATTAGGGGTGGCAGAAGAGGGAGGTAAGAAACTCTGTGAGTGAAAAAGAGAAGAGAAATGCCCTGTTAGGTGCTGGCTGTTTAGGATGGCATGCTGTCAGCTGTTAATGACAGAGCTGAAATAATATTTCTGTCATGAAAAGCGGCTGTGAGGAGCCGTTTGAAAACTCCTCTGGCTTTAAAGACCCAGCTGTCACCTCCTCCGTTCTGGTCCACATGTACTCCTTAAACAATGCTGGCACTAATGACACCACCAACCAATCAGAGAGACCTGCATGGTTACTTTGCCCTCGGGCTACTCGTCTATTGTGGGAACCCCTGTGAGTAGTGTATCTGGTACTTAAGGCCATATGCGAGATGTATCGTCACAATCAAATATGAATTCAAATATTACCTTCCTTTTATCCTGTCCTTTGGAATTAAACTGCTGTTAATTGATTTTGAAAGATAAAAAGGGTAGGTTTTTGTGCTCCTCTGACTGCAAGGCGGGGTTAGACGCACGACTGAGAGGAAAATGCAGGGAGGCCGAGCTGTGCGGGTTGGGACGGCGGGATGAAGGCACGGTGGCGAAGATCTAACAGGACAGAAACACTCATAGCTACACTGCTTGTCTCCTAATGAGAGCGAGGGTTTACATTAAGGAACTCTAAAGAGAGACCTCGTAATATATATAATCTTAATCTTATTTATAGAATTTAAACCCTTTAAAAAATAAACAAACTCTAAGGAGGAATAGTTAACATTTCCAAATAAAATCAATATAAATATGAGCTATTATACAAAGTAGTTCTGTTTTGTTCTCTTTCATACACTGCATAATGTTTTCACTTATTACTGTACCATTCTGGTTGAGTGCCGTGTACGTTAGCCCTGCTAGTTTCCCTTAGGCAGCAATCCTCCTACTGCACTGGCATGCCTATGTGATTTTTGTCCAGTATAGTTGTCGGCCTCCCCCTCACAACAAAACAAGCACTTAATAAGCCTTCACACTTGCCAAACCATTAGCCCAACACAGAGTCATACCCTTCAGTCTAGTTCGCAGCAGAGCATCAGCTCAGATGCCCTTGCTCAGAGGGAGCAAACTGCTACAAAAACAACGAGACACTGGCACATTTCCAGATAACTGCTTGTTTTAAAAGGTTCTTTAGTTTGCCTAACTTAAAGCACAAAACCTTTTCTTCTCTTCCTTTTCTGCTTAGAAGACGGTCCCCGTTTGCCATGTAATATATGCATCTGCGCTTTGATCTCGCAGTGATAATAATCCTTGCGAGTTATTTACTCAGTTTTGAAAACGCTTCAAAGCGGTGTCAAAGTTTTCTCTGCTTTAGGGTTGCTTCTGTATTCTGCTGGCTCTTGGGTGCTGGGATGACAGGTCCTCTGTTATAGGTGTAGCTTTTTCTTTTTTTTTCCCTCCAAGTATTAGCCTTTAGCAGAACATCAAATTACCCATCGCAGTCCACACTCCCTCCCTCCACCCCTTCACAGCTGCCCCTGTCAACATATAAGACCATATATATTATATAAACCGTTGTGCTTTGCGAGGTGGATTTTATGCAGAATGAAAAGTGATTGTTTGAGGTAGCCTTAGGGATACTTTATTCAACAAGCAAGAAGGGGGAAAACACAGTGGAGAGCTAGCAAGAGAGCGAACATACGTATCAAGTATGGTTTTTACAGGACTCGCAGCCTGAAGGCCTTTGTAAATAAATAATGATCAACAGATTGGCTGTGGGCTTTTGAAAAGCATGCCTTTGTCAGTTTGCATGATGGGAAAAATTTTCAAAGCAAGAAGCTGCCTTCGTAGTCTGGCAGAGAGGGATTGGGGGAGCACGCCCATCCCCAGCTTTGTGACTGCAGAGTGATACACTGGAATAATTCAACTCTGTTTGAAATATACTGAGGGATAGGGTACGAGAGAAAGAAAGAGACAGAGAGGGAGGGAGGGAGGCACCGGAGTGAGACATGCTGTAAGGGAAATACTGTTTGTCCTCCATAAAAGTGCATCTGATAAAATATTGTATTTCACCGAGCACAACATTTAGTTTGCATTCTGGTACAATGCTAGAAATTAAGCAAAGTTCACGTAATTCTGCATCTACTTGTTCAGGACTGAAAATTCTCAGCAGAGAATATCTGCATTTATCTGTCACTTTGCTCGCTATTTGGGTGACATTTAGGAGCCCTGTGTTAAATAATTTATTAGTAGCCAATCCAGCTTGTAAATTTCCTAATGAACCGCATTCCTGCCGTGGCGCTAACACCATCCCATCCCACCCCACACCCACACAAACATTCACGATGGGTCATGACTGACAACACGCATCCATTTGCAGAAGATGTCACAGTATCATCTGCAGCTGATATCCCTTGGGCGTGGCCCCGTAGCACAGACGTCATGTCTGCTCTGCCTGAGCCTTGTGGTAGGTTCAACCCGAGGCGCGGAGAAGGAAGAGGAAGGAGGTGTGCGGAGCCTGTGACAGGCTGCCAGTCACACCGCTGACAGCTCTGTGAAAGATAGCTGTCTTGGCAGTGAGAGGTGGAGCGGCAGCCCGTCTGCATGCGCCAGTCAGCCCCTGTGTGGAGGCGAGCAGAGCTGAGCAGATTGAAGTGACGGGGTGCTCCGTGGAGTTGATTGGCGCAACACGCGGCTCTGGATGAAAGATTCAGGCTGAGTGTAAAAACACTAAATGCTGTCAGTGTTATTATCACCTGCTCTAACTGATAGAGGGGAGAGGGGGGGGAAAGAGAGGTGGAGAGAGAGAGGGTGGCTAATTGACAGCTTTTTTTTTCTTTAACTTTAACTTTTGCCTGCGATGGCATGCAATCCAAATGCAGGTTGAAGGAAGAAACAACATCAAAGCCTTGTCAGTGAATGACAGTGTTGATAGAGGATAGAGAGAGTGATACTGAGAGAGATGTATGTCAAATTCTTGAGATATTTTCTCCCATATTACTCACATGTCTATCTCTGCAGTTTCCCCCCCCTTTTTTTAGGAGTATCAGCAGTATTGAATTTTCATAATTTTTCTTAAATTGTCAATAAACTACATTTACATTGCTGCAAAACAAGGGGCCTTTGTGGGAAAACAGCACTTCCACCGTTTATCTTGACTCTGTGTTTTTGATCACATTTTCTGGACCGTGTTCAGAGGGGCTGTGAGAACATGTCTTGTAGAATAAGTTCAAGAACAGGAGAGGCAGCGTAACAACACTGACAGGAACCCTTTCATGGTCAGTGTTACAGCAGATAAAACTCAGCAGCCCACTGCTGTGGATTAGCCTGTTTGGTTGTGACATGCTGCTGAAACATTAATGACCATCAGCTGGGAAAGCAAAATGTGATTGGGCAAATTCCTGAAATATTTAAAGTGCGAGCCTGTTGGAGCTTTTACTGTTTGCGCCACATGGCGTCAGGAACTGGAAGAGAGGGTAAAAGCTGGTAATTGGCCTTGTGTTGTCATGCCATTCAGTCAGTAGTACTCACATCTTGCTGTTCTCCTCTGTACCACAGTGAGCACAAGGGTCATTGACTTTTCTGATGCCTCTAAATAGGGGATGAGACAGATTGGAGGGAAAGATATTCTAGTTATGCAGTGCAGTAGAAAGTTTCATACTCTGAGAATGAGATGGACTTTTAACGATCAGACAGCACAGATATCAAGAAACCCTGCCTGGCTTCTGCCACAGCCTAACGTAAATATTTTCTCTTTTCCAGTCGACACGATCCCCTTCTAATTCCTGGAAATGAACAAATTGAGAATATGGACATGAACGTGAAGAGGTATGACTCGACAGGGATGTTTCACTGGTGCCCTTCAAAAGACATCGAAAAAGTCATCCTGGTAAGTGGGGCAAAAGTTCTGTAACTGCTACCCAGTGAGGGGAAAAATAGTGTATATAAAAAAAGAAGGTACTAGTAAGTATGCTCAGGAGCAAATGTTTCCCCTCAGTACTGCAGTAACACAATCACATACTAATGTGTATTGAAATTTCTCTCACTGCCTCTCTGTTGTTTCAAGGTGAGTTTGTTTTTATATTTATATATACAGTATATGTGTATATCCACCAAGGAATGAGTGAGCAGCATTTCAACACTCGGTGCATGACTTTGCTCAGATGCTTTAACGAGACGGTTTAAAGCATTTATGTTAGTGCATAAATTGTTTGTGTAGGATCAAGTAGGAGGCGCAGTCACCTACTGTGCATAGTAAAGATACGACATATCTTTGCTTTGTCTAAGACTCGAGTGACCCAGGTGCTGTTTTCACTCAACTCAAGGGAATATGAAGGCTGCTTCACCAAAATGTTTCAGATACACAGATAAACATCATTTGCCGCCAGCTGAAAATATGATACAATTTGCAGCTGTACTTTTTTATGAATGTAACAGTTTACAGCTTACATTCGTGTTTAATTTGTCTAATGAAGAGCTAATAATAAAACCAAATACATGGTTAATAAATGATTACATGTGGATATATAACAGTTTATGTGATGCCTTTAAGCACATTTAAACTCTAGATATGTTGGGGGGGGTTTTAACTTCATGCACCTGACCCAGTTTTCTGTTATCGGCACTCATTTTTATTCTGTAAACCTGTGTTTGTCTCTATGTGCCTCCTCATTTCTTTTCTGCCTTCGCTTTTTTTCCTCATTCTCTGCTTTTCTCTCCCCCCTTCCCCGTGTCCCTCTCTTCCCTACAGACCCGGAGTGAAGCCTCCATGACAGTGCTAAGCGGCCATGTAGTGGTCTGTATATTTGGGGATGTCACGTCCGCTTTAGTGGGGCTGCGAAACTTGGTGATGCCTTTAAGAGCCAGCAACTTCCATTACCACGAGCTAAAGCCTATAGTTTTTGTGGGCTCGCTGGATTACCTTCGGAGAGAGTGGGAAACTTTACACAACTTCCCCAAGGTCTCCATCTTACCTGTGAGTGTACTACTTCACCTGCATGTTGAATATCTGTCCAACTAGAAGGCGCTGACATTTTAAGTTGCACTCATACTGAAATCTTTCAAGCGATTGTCATTTTGAGTTTGATCGCGCATTTCTCAGTTGAATGATTACTTCATGAGAGCTCAGTGAGCCTCCCTCATCCCTAGCAGTGACACATCCTGCATATCCAAAGTGGAGTTTATGAGCGTTGCAGCTGCAGTGCCCATCACAGATGGCGTGGCTTGCTGCCTTAGAGCTTGTTAGGCCTGGTTTGACTGATGATCAGAGGAGAATCACAAACACAGCCCTCAGCGCAGGCTAGCCTTTAGATTAGTCCGTGTCTCTGAATCTCCAACGCCCGGTTAGATCAGTGGAATGTCATCGCCTCAAAACAAGAATACTTGTTAACTAATTTCCCACAGCCCCACTCTGCTCACTTCTTAAATTTATTTTTCTCTCCCCCATGTCTGTCTGTTCTCTGTGTTTTGCTTTCTCTCTCTCGCTGTCTTGCTCTTTCTCTGTGTTCCCCTCGCCCTGAAGGGTACACCATTAAGTCGGGCAGATTTAAGGGCTGTCAACATCAACCTCTGCGACATGTGTGTAATACTGTCAGCCAATCAGAACAATATCGAAGATGCGTCTCTGCAGGATAAGGAATGCATCTTGGCAACACTCAACATCAAATCTATGCAGTTTGATGACAGCATTGGGGTCTTACAGGCTAATTCCCAAGGTAAGAAGTGTCCCATTAGACTCCATGTACACTCCTGGCCAAAGGGGACAGGTTATGGGAGGGAGGAAAGGAGAGTAGTCAAAAAATGGAAAAGGAAAAGAGGAAAAGACTGGAGGGCAGTGAGAAGGCCACACAGGAAGGATAGATGTAGTTTGTCGAGCACAGAGTCTGCTAAGCGCTCATAACTGAAATTCTCTGAAAGTCTGCTTTGAGTCTCGTCTGTAAACTGACATTACTGTAACTCTAACTGAAGATGTGCACACACAGAAACATTGTGTTTATACCTTCATCAAGCCTTTGAAGAGTGTTTACTCCGCGCAATTTTCTGATGGTTTCAGTCTTGTCCCTGGCAATTAGATGCTGCTAAACCTTTGATAATACTTTTTAATGATGTAATCAACATGACTGTGTCATTTGATGTTGTTCCCCCTGATCTGGAGTCTGGCAGATCGTCTGGAACAGATTGTTGATGTTTGCAGACAAACATACGAACCAGGCATCCCATCAGGCCTCATCATCATTAAGCAGCTAGTACAAATCACCAGGCAGGCCAATTCAGCTGCTACTCATTAGTCACAACAAAACAGCAACACATGCACGCACACACCTCAGTGCTTCATAGCGTGCGCACGCGTTTGCGTGCGTAACACACTCGGTTACTCATGCCAAGGCATCCTATCCACAAACATTCACAAACAGGTGATCCTCAGTTTCTGATTAGCTTGAAAGGTTCTACATGCCTTGAGGTAAGCAGTTAGTGCCACCACAGCGACTGTTGTAAATACAAATCAAAGTGAAGGTTCAAGAGGCCTTTTTTTTCTTTTCGTAATGGAGGGCATATCCACATTTTTATTAGAATGCCGATGCAGTTACTTCTCCAGCCTGTGTGAGCGATACGCTGTCGATAATAGTGCCAGCAAGCAACAATCGGCAGGAGTAAATCTGAGAGCGCGACCACTCTGGGGAGCACTACTTGCAGAAAGCCACGTCCATCCAGAAGCTCGCAGGTTTATGTCTTCTAACCCAAACCAATGGTTTGAGACTGGCGTTATCAATAACCGGGTCTTACTTTAACGGCCCATTTAAGAAAACACAGTGACATGCAATCATGCATACATAAGAAAATACACGCATATAACCAGGCGCTGCTATTGTATCATGGGTATTGCTGTGAGGATTCCTTCCTCCTAGCGATGCTCTCATTCAGACGCTGTCTGTGGAATTTAGAGGTGCAAATGAATAAGTAAACATGCGCTTTCCTGGGGGAGAGCTTCTCCCGGCTGCTGTAGCATGTAGTCAACCACAGAGCATAGCTGTGCCCGCAGGGCTACAGGGATAAGGGGGCATGTAACCCAGATCTCACTCATCTATTGTAGATTGTAGCTGAATAAACTAAGTTACAGTCTAACAAAAGCAAAAGCCAGCGTCTTTGCTTTGGGGCATCATTTTCATTTTTCATTAAAAAAAAAAAAAAGTTAGCATTAATATAAAACATATAAAAAAAGAGAAAAATTGACTGTTTTAAGTATAATTAGGCAATTCAAGAAGCATAGTGTTATTTCAATCACAAGGACACAAGATTAGTCTATAAAGAGAAACAGTGTCTTTCTTTAGAGATAAACAGTGTTTTTCATATGGGGTGTATGTGAATGTCTGATGAATAATCTCAGAAATAGATTAAGGCAATCGGGCAGATAAACACATTTGAGCTCTTCTGTTTTTCAGTGCTCAGTAGAGGCTCAGCTCTCTGTTTGGATTTTGCCAGCTCACACTGCATAACGACTTTTGAGCTGTTTGTAACCTAACAGGTTTTGAAAGCAGCTCTACAGCAGGCCTCATGTATCCCTGTTCTCACCAACGCCACTTTCTGGGGTTGCGCTGCGCAGAGTGGAAGGCGCTCTCCTACGTCTTCCCACAGTCTTCATGTTCACTATGATACAATAAGCGCGGCGTTTTAGAGGCAGAATCCAAAAAACTTGCTGTCACTCTCCAGTGGAGTAAACATCATCCTTTATGGACATCGACAAAATGATGCTTGCACTATCTGAGCTGTGCTCCCTGGTTGAAGTGTCAAACCGCTGCTATCTCCTAGTTCAATAATTGGTGTAACAAAAGTTATGATTATCCATGCTTCAGTTCAGTGTGTGCTTCCCGCTGTGTACTAAACTATTTGGTGCCTTTTCCGTTGCAAAGGGCTGAAAGATCTCTTTTGTAATGTAAGCAGCTCATTGAGTTTCTTGACAGAAAGGCACGCACACACTCGCACACAGAGAGAATTTGCAAGCCTTTTAAAACTTTGTGACCTGAATATATTCCCTGCATTATGTTTCCTTGGTGGTGGCACTATAAGCTGACATTTTGCTGTAGTCAGCATTAAATGATGGATGTCAAAACACAGTTGATGCATTATGCATATAGCATTACAGATTTAAGGTGTTTACTTGTCACTTTGAGGAAATGCAAAAATGTGAAGTCATGTGAATTCATACTCCTGTCACTTGCACTTGTATTTCATGGTTCTGTGCCACACCATTTTCGATAAAAGGTTTTCAGGATCCACTTCACCAATTTTATTGTAACAAAATGAACAACATATAAAATTTATGTCTGCCAGTTGATGGAGGGATGTGAATGCTAAATATGTCTTGGCTGACCCCTAAAAGCACAGTATCACTATTGCAGTTTTTAGGCAGGCGCCTGCTTCACTTAGCTGCCTTCTTTGTGTCCGTGTGTGTTCTTCAATCCACACATTTGAATCGCACATAAAGTGCACATCAAAAACTTCATGCTGGGTAAGATAGAATGCATCTGTAATTGTACTGATGCAGAGTTTTAGGTCATGCCCTCATGCCGGTGATACTTCTACAATAAAACATACAGACTGCACATTTTTGTTTTGCTATTTGCCATAAAGAGTAAGACCCACATTAAGCCGATACACAGTGACGACATTTAAGTTGGAATCAGATTTTTTTATGTTTATTAAATTATTATGCCTCATAAAGAGTAGTCGCATTGGTAATAGCATTATATGTTTGAGGTGAAACAAAATTAAATTAAATTCAAAAAACACCACAAAATGTAAGTTAGGGCTCAAAGAATAAATAATTAGTAAATTAGTAGGAAAACATTAGTTAAAAGTAACATATTGCTATAACTTTAATAATTTTTTATTGTTTTATTATATTTTATTTATTCAAATGTAAATAGTAATAATAGAAACCTATCAAAATCATGTAGTTATTTTTTAGTATAAATTGAAGCTGAAGCAACAGTTTTTTCTTTAAATGCCCAGGCGTGTGAATTCAGTAGCTTATTGAACCATCTTAACTCCAATAACTTAAAGTAATTTTTTTCTGCATGACTTTATCCATCTCTTACATCTTTGTGGAAAAAGTTTGACCCAGGCTTCTTTACAATGTTGCTTCAGTTCACTGAAGTTTGCAGGCATTCATTTATGCACGTGTCTCTTAAGGTCCTGCCATAGATTCCTTATTATCAGTTTGGGCTTTAACTGGCCGTCGCTGCACCTCGATTCATTTTATTCTCAGCCATTCTGTTGTAGATTTGCCTCTGTGCTATACACTATGGCCAAACCTCTCATCTTTGGTCTTGTCCTTCCAGAGGACAGTTTCCATAAGCATTGGGTTTTTTTTTTTTTAAATTTAACTTTCTTAAACTGAAGTTATGCTGTTATATAGTAAAAAGAGGTTTTCTGCTGGCAGCACCTCCAAACAAGCCATACTTATTCTGTCTGTTTCTAATTACATTGTCGTGAACATTAACCTTTAACATGCTAATTGATGCCTATAGGGTCAAACCTGTAGCTCTTGGGTTTTATGCAGTTTTTTTTAGCTTTGCGTGGTCTAAACTTGGGGTGATGCTGGGATGTCCACTATTGGGAATATTGTGGCATTGTGTTAACGCACACCCAAATGTTCCAGACCAGCACACTGTCAAAAATTGTGTTTTTATAGAGGTGGTCAGTTAATCAGGTACATTTGATTAGCAGCACCTGGCTGGCTTTAATGCCTGTGGAAGCAGTGAGGGTGGCATTGAACTGAAAACTTTCTTTTTCACATGACTTTATTTGTATTAAGTAGATATTAAGATTTAAACCCTTTACATCTGCTATAAAGTTTGCTGACCAGCCTGAATACTTGATCCGTAACGCTGTTTTATCTGCTGATGTATTCAGCCTATGTCTTTGTTTCCGAATGTGTAAAGGTTTCACGCCTCCTGGAATGGACAGGTCATCTCCAGACAGCAGTCCAGTACATGGCTTCGTGCGTCAGGCATCTGTCACCACCGGATCCAACATCCCCATCATCACAGAACTAGGTAAAACACCCACCTCAGTTGCAAACATTGCATGTTACATCCAGTAACTACCAGTCAACTCATTATTCATTTCCAGATGTAGACACACAGAGCTAATAATCTCAGGCATCATTCTGCTATCAAAAGTTCCAACTCATTCGAGGTCAAACAGACTAAAGAATGCACGGTGTGGAATTTTTGTCCACTTTCATGTTGTTGATAGCTTTGCCCAACTCAACTTCATATTCGGATGTGGGTTACTGGATCCTGCAAGGTTTTGGGTTTTTTTTGTTGTTATTTTTTTTTTGTCAAGTGGTGACTCAACTTAAAGGTATCAAACACGCACTTTCGGGACAAAAGCCACATCTCCTGCCATTTGTCCACTAATGGACAAGAGAAACTCAGCCTGATGGAGAGAGTGAGAGAGGGAGAAAAGGGAAGAGAAAAGGTAGAAGAGGAAAAGTGCCTTGGTTGCAAAATGGGTCCATTTATTAATCACAATACCACCGGTTGTATTCCCAATGGTGATGGGGACTCATGAAACTTTCAGATCTCCGAGGGGCCTTCTAAAGCACTAGAGACTAGCTACTCTGTCTCCTCTGACCCAATTAGGGAGCAATGGAGCATGAGGCCAGCTAAGAAAAGGCCAGAAAGAGAAAGAAGCTGCCTAATATTACTTGTAACCAGCACAGCCATTACCTGAATTGAGCCTCTCCCATTACACTCCTAACCGCATATGTAATCATCAAAACTAGATAGTCCACGTTAGAGCCAAAGGCTTCTGTCCTGGACCTGTTCATGGCTCTGGAGTTGCCTCTCTGCATGGTCTTTGCTTAGAAAATTTTAAAGCTGCAGCATCACTAGATGTGATAACATTGTCTTTTAGGAAAGGAAGAAGTAAGAGAATACAAAGGGAAGAGTGGCTGCATGTCTTACGCCAAATATATGCTGTACTTACATTGTCATATGTTCAGGTTACAGTGCCAGAAGCATATTAAAGTCACTTTCAAACCTAAAAAACATGCTTCATCTGAGTTTCGTGATCAATTTTGTTTGCATGGCGTGTGAAGTAGGTGTGTTTATGGATAAGATCCTTTTCTTTATCCGTCTCACTGCTTTACCATGAAATTATTTATTGTTGTTGAAGCGGCACGGTGCTGTGACAGCTCGGGCTTCGTATCTACTGTGCACTCTAATCCGGGGTGCTTCACTTTTAGACACCGGACAGCCGTGAATATTTCAGAGTAATTCCGAAGTTGACGCGAGCAGTCTCGAGACACCCGAATGCCTTTACTGCAGTCTTTGAAACTGTTTCAATAACGACACAATTTCTCCCTCTCTCTGCACTGTCTCATCACCATTAGCTAAACCTGGCAAACTACTGCCATTGGTTTCACTCAGTCAGGAAAAAAAAAGTGGAACCAGCATACAAATGATAACAGAGCTGGGTAAGCTGAGCCTTTGTCCTCTGCTGCCGTTCGTTCCCCCTCGCTCCGTCGCTCCGCTCCTCATCAGCTTGTCTTGATTTATCTGGCTGCAGTCAAGGCTCTCGCCGCTCCCATGGCTTCACTTTGAACACATTTTTATCCTTCGTTCTGGCTGAAATTGACTGTCTTGTTTTGGCCCTCTTTTTACTGATTTTTTTATTTTTCTTATTTATTTTGGGGCATTTTTTTTTTCTTTCTTCCAGTTGGGTTTTTGCAGAGCTTCGCTAGGTCTTTGATCATGTTCAGTCTGTCCTTGTGGCTGTTTTCATAGCAACACCCCCTCGGCCTCTCACCACCCCTACCTCCCCTCCTTGCCACCTCCACACACACACTAACTCCCGCTTTCCCCCCCTTCACTCCATTGGCCCAGGCCCGTTTGCATCAGCCCCCTTCTCTCTTTGACTGACATTTTTGTTCCACAGCTCACAGGAAACAAGGGAAGAAATCAAATTTCAAAAATAACAACAACGAACAAAATCTTTTAAGCTGTTTGTTTATTTTTAAAATGTATTTTTCTTTTTTTTCTTTCCCTCATGCCATAACTCTGAGGCACAGATACTGCACAAGTCAAACAGAAAACTTGTGTGATGCTCTCTTTTAGAGTAACGTTGGCTCATAGATTCATCGCTGTCCATTGCTGCTAGAAATACATTATAGGGAAAAAGATTTGCAGCAAGAACTCATTCTTTTATTACACTTAAGAGGTTTTTTAAAAAATCCATTTATTATCAGGCTAGTTTCATTTACACTGTGCAGATCATGTTTTTCTTCATCATAATATAAAAAGTGTGTTGTTATCTGGTTTTAATTTGACTTTCGGGGCACAGGTAAATATGTGAGATGTATCTCCACAATGGTGATGATGTGACAAACACATCCATCAAGAAGGAATTTCCTAAAAAACAAAAAAAACAAAAAAAAAAACATAGCATGTCATTAAGTGCATGGTTTTCTCATGTGAGATAGTAGCCATTGTTGAAGTCTCAAATTTTACTTTTTAATGAACCCTTATAAATATATAGATATATGCTTTTTTTTAAAATACATATCTGTTTTTGTTTTTATGTATGCTACTGTCACTGTATTTTGAAATTCTGTGCAGTTATGTACCTTGGATAGCAATATAATAAATAATAAAAGAAAAACCAAAATGAGTATATAGTAGCTACAGAGATGCTAAGATTGGGGACTTCTTCAATGGTTATCTAAAGTTGTGGTTTGCCTAAATGTATGAAACGCACCCTGCATGTTATATACAGTACATAGAATTACATATATTACAATATACACATTAAAAAATGAAAAAGGTATTTTATTCAGCAACACATTTTTGTCACATTCCAAACAATTAAACATATGAGGACAAAAGAAGAGTATTTTTTAACTTGGGCATCAATTTTACAATAATTATTGATTTCATGATCAGTGGAAAACATGTCAATTGTTTGGAGAAGAAATGAATTTTATTTTTTTTCTTGTGTTTTAAAGTAAGTGCAGTGGTGTATATATGCAGTGAGATATAATGTGCATCTGATGTTGCATTATATTGGAAGCTCCAACCATACCGCAATACCTATATGCCTGAGACCTTCTTCTTCCATTACTAAGATGTGTCCTAATCTTTTAAAATGTAACTCAGCATTTAAAAAAAAAAAAGAAGAAGTGTATCGTATGCTATTAAACTCTCAGGTGTGCACTTCACTCTGCCCGTCTCTAACTCGGCTGTGTCCCCTCTCTCAGTGAACGACTCAAACGTTCAGTTCCTGGACCAAGATGATGATGACGACCCAGACACAGAGCTGTACCTCACTCAGCCCTTCGCCTGCGGCACCGCCTTCGCTGTCAGTGTACTCGACTCCCTGATGAGTGCGGTGAGTTCCTAAACAGACTGAAAACCCACTGTGCTTGTTTTAAATTTTACAATTTTTATTTTTGAAATTCTCCATCTGCATGCTTTAATAGCTATATTCATTAGAGAAGAGTTTCAAATAAAGTACATAAAGACTTAACTGGATGCTGTTGCTCAGGTAGAGACTGTAGATTAAGGTAGAGTTAAGACATTGCATTATGTTAATAAACCCAGATCATTTCCTTATTTTCCTTATTTACAATTAAATTGCTTTAGAACAATAAATTTTCAGATGTACCTGTACTTACCTATAAGTTACAAACTCAGCTGGTGTATATAATTAAAAAAACACATCCTGAGGTGATGTGTTGACATAAATTTAAGTAGATGCGCAGTTTTGGCATTTCAAGTAGGCAGAAGTTGGTAAATGAAATGGCACAGTACATTGATCACATATGCCTGCCAACTCCACTGACATCAGAAGAGAAATAGTTGGCATCACTCACCCTAAGTGTTGACTGTTTAACTTTCAGGAGTTTTATTTTAACAAAGTAAACTAAAAGTTAGTGTAGTAGTGGTGATATATGTGCAGCTAGAAAGGGGCCAAAGAAACGCTGTTTTGTCATTTGTGATCACTGAGCCAGAGATAAGAAAAAAAATGAAATGGGCAGAAAACAAGCTACAGAAAAATTCTCCCTCTCCCGATGACCAAGTGTGTTGTTTCCCTTTGGTGCTGTGATGGCTTAATTCCAGCAGTTCTCTCTGCGAATAAGGGCTTAGAGTAGCGTGCAAAGCTGAGCTGTGCAGGGAGTATAGCGGGCGTCAGCTGTAGTCTGGCACTGGTCAGAGGTGAAGCCAGCTAATGGACACTGCTCATCCATCATGAGGCTCTGCAGGCCTGTCAGGGTCCCAGTGAGGGGCGCTGCCACTACGGCCCGTCTGCCTGGTGACATCAGCTGTCTTCACTCTTAGCAAAAGCAGGTTCTGATCGGCTTGAAGGACAGGAGAACCTGACACTTGCAGATCGCAGTCAAATTGTTGTTTCGAAAGTCAAAGCAGACCTTGTGGGGTGCGTAGAGGAAAGAATTATGTTTTGTGGAAGTACTAGTGTTTTATTTAATGCAATGATCCCACATGTACTATGGTTAGCAAAATGTCCTTGACCATGTAGCTCTAAAATTTGATAGATTTATGTATCTTGAATTTTATGTATATTTTAGTGCAACCTAATGCAACATTTCTCATACTGAATACTTAAAGGGCTGGTTCACCAACTAACCCCCCCCAAAAAAGCCAAAAAAGCATGTTTGCACTTATATCTAGTTGTATTTATTCATGTATATGGTTCTGTTTTCAAAGTCAGTTTTTAAAAAAATATTTTAATGTATTCATCTTGGTGAATGGCGCATGAAAAGAAAGATTTTAAAATATCGTTTTTTTTAACTATTGCATAAAAAGATCAGCATTTAAAAAAGTGTATATTTTATAAGAAACGGGCACAGTGAAAAATGTCAGTGTTGAGATCTGTGGGTTATTGACCATAACAGCAAAGTGGTTTCTACAAAGATGTGTTTCTGTTGACTTTTCAAATAAATTCATTTATTATCAGAAACCTAAAGATTAATAACTTCAATAAATAAAGTCCAAACTACCTACAGTGAAATATCACAAGAGGTAAGGAAGAAAATATGTTTTCAATAACTAATGAGTAGTGAGAGGTAGTAAGGTCTAAGCACTTTTTGCTTATGTCTGCTACAGCTCTACTGGTGACTCTAATGACATCTGCTTATACATATACCTTTTTTTCTCTGTCCAGACATACTTTAATGATAATATCCTCACGCTGATTCGAACGCTGGTAACAGGGGGAGCCACGCCAGAGCTGGAGGGCCTGCTGGCTGAAGAGAATGCTCTCAGAGGAGGCTACAGCACACCGCAAACTCTGGCCAACAGAGACAGGTGTCGCGTCGCCCAGCTAGCCCTCTACGACGGGCCATTTGCTGACTTAGGGGTAAGTGGATGTTTAAGTGCAGATGACACATTTTGCCACTACCCAGCAGCACACATCTGCCCACCTCTGCTGCTCCCGGGCCTTAATCTGATGTGAAGAACAGTGATTGTGCAAAGCAAGCCTTAGTGGGTGGAAAGGGAAGATCGCTTTGAAGAGAACAATGAACCAACATGGTGTTGGTTCTAATTGGTTCCAACCTTGTTTTTAACAGGTTTTCTTAATCTTGTGAACTATGAGTAATGAAGTTTTTTTTGTTTTGTTTTTTTCTTGGATGAACTCTGGCATAATTTTACAACACTGCCAGTTTTTATTGCAGTCTCCTCTGCCAAAAGTTGGTGTTTACTGGCAAGCAAAAGACTGGTACAGAGCGCATGAATCTCACAACTTAACAATTCCATTTATTGTCCTAACCTGACTGACCTAACACACAATCATGGTTTCTTTGTTCTGTTGTTCACCAGGATGGCGGCTGCTACGGAGATTTATTCTGCAAAGCACTGAAGACATACAACATGCTGTGTTTCGGAATCTACAGATTAAGAGATGCACATCTCGGTGCACCAAGCCAATGTACAAAACGGTATGATACAAGCTTTTGCTCATTGCCAAAATGAATATCTTGATGTAATAGAATGAATGATTACTCTTGTAGACTCCAGAGTACTGTTGTATACAGAGGCATTTGTATTAAACTCAGTGACTACAAGGTGTTCAGGTCTTGTGACTGCATAGCAAGCCCAAATCATCACCACTCCACCACCATGCTTGACAGTTCGTCGATGTCTTTGTGCTCATATTCTGGTATCCTGCATCCCCTCCAAATGAGCCATTTTTATTCAGTCTTTTTCTAATTGTGCAGTCATGAACTTTAACATTTAAAACACTAGCCAGAGCCTGTAGAGTCTGAGATGTAGCTCTTGGGTTTTATGCAATTTTATGTCAGAGTTTCTCTGATCGTTTTCTCTGATCTTGGGGTGAATTTGCTGGGAGCTCCACTCCTGGGAAGATTGTGCTATTGTGTTAACATTTACCTGAATGCTCCAGACTGCAAACTGCCAAAACCCATGCTTTTACAGAGTTGATCACGCTTGCTGATTTTCAGTTGCATTTGATTAGAAGCGCCTGGCTGCTACTTATTAATTTAATCCCTCTAGAAAAGGTAAGGGTGTACTTAGAGGCCTGTGGAAACTTTATTTTTAACATGACTTTTATGTTTAAGTTTTAAATGTTGCAGTAAATGCTTTGCTGCTCTTTCATTGATGTATCTGAGTCTTATTGTCTGTAACATGTGTTTTCCGGCTAGGTATGTGATCACAAACCCTCCATACGAATTTGAACTGGTGCCCACCGACCTGATCTTCTGCCTAATGCAGTTCGACCACAACGCCGGCCAGTCCCGGACAAGTTTGTCCCACTCTTCCCACTCCTCCCATTCCTCCAGCAAAAAGAGCTCATCCGTGCACTCCATCCCCCCATCGAACCGGCAGAACCGCAGCAGCAAGACCCGGGAGTCCCGCGAAAAACAGAAGTACGCATACGCACATGTCCTGCAATCTGCCTGATTAGTGTTTTATACCCAACCTGTACAGTATGCTATAGGTGTGTGCGTGCGTGTGTGTGTGTGTTTGTGTGTGTAGACGGTGATGACACATGCACTGATGATTACTGTGTATTATGTGTTTGTGCTTTGCGTCCATGCCCTGTGTTTGTGTGTTTTGTTCATAATCATCTGCATGTGGTCTTCACTCTGACATCACTGCAGTCATAACATGGCATAAGCAAATTGGTAAACTCACTTTGTGGAGAACTGGGTTCATTTATTTGCCTCAAAGACTCGAGCCTCTTTTGTAAACAGTAAGGCCATTTGTTTGGATTAAACGGCCATTGTGGTTGGAAAGAAGATTACAGTAAAAAGCCCCAACCACAACTCACTTTCAATATGTTGTTTGGTCTACCTGTTGTATTTGTCTTAATAGTTAGTTGTTTTGTGTTTATCTTGTAGTATTTGTGGAGTAAGTAACTGTTATGTGTTGGATATTTGTGCACATGATCAGCACACCTGGATCATGGATGTAACGTACTGTGATTTGGCTACTGTAGCTGATATTTATTATTAAGTTGACATTACAGATACTCATAAGATCATCCCTCATTAGCAGTGTTGATATTTTGTTAATCATGGTGCATCTGTACTGCTTTATTGCATGTCCATGTTGGTAGCCCTTTTGAGCAGGCTATTATTTCCTGTACTTTATTATTCACTTATAAGATTATTTTCAAATTTGGTGAAATATTTTTGACAATACTTGGTGTTTATTCCATATTTTCTCCCAAAAATGAGCGTAATTTTCTTTTGACTTGGGAGAATAAAGTCATTTTTGAAGCGTGACATATTCTAAAAGCATGCAGATTTGTTACAATCGTACTCCAGAGCTGTTAAGGAGTAAAGGAAAAGTCCTGAATACATCTTGAAACGTAGATGTATTATATCAACCGAATGCTGTAATGACAACATGTACGCATAAGATAGACTGGTAGCCATTTGTTAGTTGTGTATTAACTGTAAATACGCCTCACTTACAGTAGATTACTTACCTCTCTTTCTGAAGTGCAACAAGGATGAATAGAATGGGCCAAGGTATGCAAGTTAACGATTCTGCATGACTTAGCAACCTTTTTACCTGGGGTTCTGATCATAACTATGTCCTCTGTGGATATTGTTATGATGAGGGGAGTTTGTTTTATTTCTTACGTTCTTCAGACGTTAAGTAAACCATGCCTCAGTTTAAGTTTTGCTTTCATCTGGAAAGCAAAATGTCTGCTGCTGCTCCTGCCTCCCTGCCATGATCAGGACCATTTCCACACTGCATGAGGTTGAGACAACCCCTACACCCTACCACCCCACCCCACCCTGCCCCACCCTGCCCTCCCCCTCCTTTGTGCCTCTACCTCAGTTATTTATTTCATGATATGATTTTTTTTCCTCTCTCCTACAGACAAAATCATCTTCCACATTTTTTTCTCATTATCTATCATGCCTTCTTACGGTTTATTTGAACTTGAGATGGTTTGCATTGTGTGAGAGGTCTGTGTGTTTGCGCATCTTCCCTCCTATTGAATGCTATGAGACGACTGTAGCAGACTTTCAGATGTAAAATTTATCCTCTCATTTAGCACAGCAACTATGTTATTGTAACAGCATCGGCATGTACCGCAGAGCAACTACGTGTTGTAATACTGTACATACATGTACCATAGCTCACATGTAGGTCAGACTGATTCAAATCCCCCTGATGCAGCCAAATTGCTTACTTCTTCACAGAACTTTAAGAAAGTGTGTCCAGCCCTGTGCCATCGGTCACACTGCAAAAGTGGGAGGTGTGACCAATTTAGAGTTTAAATTGAAGGGGGAATATGAGTCTGTAAGTCTCCTCCTTGTAACCCTGCACGCCTGATATGGTGGTTTGAGGCGACATCACTAAGTTCACCGTATCAGCAGTAGACTCCGGAGAGAGATGGCAGACATCTTGCTTCACCTCAGGCACAATTCTACACATCAAATGTCTTTGCTGTAACACACAGCCCTGCAGCCTCAAGCTTGCTGACACACACACACACACACACTCAAGCCCACACAAATGAATCTCTGCACATGCAGTCCTGCATGTAGACGAGCACTTTCACACACGCACACACACACGCACGGATGCGTGCACAGGGTGTGCTCCACATTGCAAAGTTAAAATTTGATATTACAACTTCACCCAAAAGGAAGTGACATCTTGAATGGCGTTGCAGTCGCCTGTGAAGTGCTGGGAGTGAGTTTACAAACTTCTGACAGCTGGCATACACACTTCCCTTTCCTCAGAAACACTGCTCTCATAGCCTACTTAAACATGAAGAGATTCTCTCCTAGATGACACATCCAACCCTCTCAAATCTCCTTCCTGCTCTCATGCTGACAGTGATTTTAAGAGCTCACTCCGAAATGCGACTGTTTAGGGTATGGTGCACTTTTTAAAATTATTAGCTAAACAACCAGATCACCCAAATCGCAAAAGACACATTTTCTATAATTCCACTATCGGTAAATGGTCCTACAAAAAGTTCTGGTTTTATTGCATGGTATCTATTTCTTTGATTTCTGCGACCATCCAAATACAACACAAGTGAATAGAATTTCACAGCACTAACAATTTAGAGTTCACCACAAAAGGCACATTTTCCTGTCGATATTTGAAAAGATTAATTAAATTCAGTGTTCACAAGTACAAAGTACTGGTTCAGTTGTGGATCATCCTCTGGTTACCTGTTATTCTGTCAATCCTAATCCACTATTATTTGTTTGTTTTTCCAGAGGAGATGAGCTATTTATTTGGTTTTCGTTTAGTTGGAGTAATTCAGGTTTATTGTGTGTGCTGAAAATGTTCAGATGCTGCATCTGAAAAGCACAGACAGTGGGACCTCTCTGGATAATAACAGTTTAATAACAGAACCCCAGTTTTACCAAACAAGAAATACTGCATCCCTGCTCACAGCTAGGACCTTTTACCTCTTTTCCACCAATGTAGTGCTGGTGCAGAACCAGTCCTCTCCTTTACCTTTTGAAATCCTGCTCAATTTTTAAGTGGCTTAATGGTAGAACATGGCATAGCTTCAAGTAGCAAACGCTTGGGTAACATCCATTTGAAAAAAGCTTTAATAGATGGCTGCCCCTCCCTGAGCCTGGTTCTGTCGGAGGTTTCTTCCTGTTAAAAGGGGAGTTTTTCCTTCCCACTGTTGCCAAAGTGCTTGCTCATAGGAGGTCATATTATTGTTGGATTTTTCTCTGTATGTATCATTGTAGGGTCTACCTTACAATATAAAGCGCCTTGAGGTGACTGTTGTTGTGATTTGGCGCTGTATAAAGAAAATTAAACTGAATTGAATTGAAAATTGAATTAATAAGAAAAATCTGCAAACTGTATCTATGATTCGGTGAGATGCTTTTGCTTCACTGATGTTTGCTTCACTGATGTTTGATGGTTCCATCTTATGGGGCGATCGTGGCTGTTGGGAGTTCGCCTTGTAATCGGAAGGTTGCCGGTTCGAGCCCCGGCTTGGACAGTCTCGGTCGTTGTGTCCTTGGGCAAGACACTTCACCCGTTGCCTACTGATGGTGGTCAGAGGGCCCGGTGGCGCCAGTGTCCGGCAGCCTCGCCTCTGTCAGTGCGCCCCAGGGTGGCTGTGGCTACAATGTAGCTTGCCATCACCAGTGTGTGAATGTGTGCGTGAATGGGTGGATGACTGGATATGTAAAGCGCTTTGGGGTCCTTAGGGACTAGTAAAGCGCTATATAAATACAGGCCATTTACCATGTACCAGCACATTTGTGCACACATGTGCTTATGCCACTTTTTACATGAAAAAGCAATGAACCAGTTCAAGGGGACATGCTCATCAGCTAGCAACTTGTCATTCACAAGTTAGCCCATTTCTCAGTCAGGTCCTTGCACATTGCATTCAGTTTCACTACATGAAGAACAGGTTTCATAAGGGGACTAATTTAATCATTGTGTTAAATCTCAGTGCTAAAATCTGTCTTTTAAACTATGATCAGTAGGGTTAGGGTTGGTACCTTTTATATCATCTTTTATACTATTATCATGAGTGTGGCCAATCTTTGATGAGCAAGCTGTGTAGCAGGAAAACAGCATACAAAAATTAAAAAATCAAAAAACAAATAACCGGTTAAATATTTTAAAAATAATTTTCTTTGGTTTCTTTTTGTTTTCTAAACTTGATTTCACACTTAAAAAAATCGGGACACAGACTTACTAAAAGCTATGTTGCATTCCCTCTTCTTTTAATACTCTAATCCTTCATTTTTCTGGGTGTGAATTGAGGAGATTCTGCTGCTTTCAAGGCAAAATGTTTCCTCATTTTTGCTTATATTGAATTTCAGCTTTTAAATAATTCATAATAATCCACTATTGTTGTTAAGGGAAATTATCAAATATTTTCAATGGGTGATGGGACAGGCCGACAGGAAGGCCAGTTTAGTACAGATGGAGAGATGCTTTTTTGTTCCCTTCCCAACTTTTTTCTTAGCACCAGCACTTAATATTTTGTCTTTATTACTTTTATGTAAATAATGTTTAAATGACTTGCAAATTTATGTATATATAGTGTGTGTATATATTTTACACACCATATTTCTTAGAATGGTAAATGAGCCCCTGTAAAAATGTGTCAAATGTGTATTCTTGTAAATGGCAATGCATCTACATAGTTTTAATGATAATACCAAGATTTCTAAATCTATTGCTATACTTTAATATTGTAAAGGCTTGATATTTAAATTCACCCAGATTTTTTTTCCTTTAATTGAAAAAAAAAAAAGTCCCACATTTGCTTCCAGTCACACTGCCCTTGGCAATTTGAGGGTATTTATGTTGAATTTGAATCCACCCGTTCCACATCTTGAGTCTGGCTGGTCAGAGGAATACACTCATTGGAGGTTTTATACAGACTATTTCTTTGCTATAAAGAGATTCTTAAAAAAATAGTCTTTATTTAGACTATTTTTTAAGAATTGACAACACAGAGTCAACTGACATTGACTCTGTATTGTGGTGACAGCAGAAATCTCTGGAATGGATGTCTCAAAATCTGGAAATAAAACCAAAACTATCCAAAAACAGGAGAAATGGTTAAAAAAACAAAACAAAACATTGTTTTCTGTTTTGTAATTTGGGTGAGCAGATCCTGAAATATGCTTTAGTATGTACTGTATAGCATACTAGTCTGTTCTTCTTTTTTCTTTTGTCTTATCAGTCTTCACACAATTAATTAGAAATCTGATATAACATACCCACATAAATACAAAGTCAGTTATGGACAATGCCACCATATCAACTTCAGATTGGCTCAGGTCACCAGAAACCAAACTGAAAGTGGACCTTGCGTACGACAAAGAATGCCATGCAAATCTTAATCTCACTTAAACTGAGGCAGTATGGTTGTAACTAAACCAGCATTGCATACTTTTTCTAACTAAACCCTTGTTTTCTTCCTCTCTCACGTTTTCCCCTTTAGAAAAGAAATGGTTTACAGATGAACCAGAAAATGCCTACCCAAGGAACATTCAGATCAAGCCCATGAGCACTCACATGGCCAACCAAGTCAACCAATACAAATCCACTAGTAGTCTGATTCCACCAATCAGAGAAGTTGAAGATGAATGCTGAACACCAGGCTTTCTTGCTGACTCACCAGACATCTGTACGCTCTTTACGAAAGAGATTGGAAGAGATCACCAAAGGAGGGATGATGATGATGATGATGATGACAGAGGTGGTGAAGATTGACACATTTCTCCTCACTCATTCTTCTAATTGAGGGTTGGACAGGAACCCAGACTGGGAAGGGACCTCCTATGTGTATATGTTTAATGTTACTTCCATGCTCTTGGACATTTGTTTTATTTATTTATGTGTCCATAGAAATGTACATAATGACAATCAAATAAGGATTGTACAGCTCCTTCCCTCTAGCACTTTTTGGAATTATTTTGAGAGTTGATGGAAAAAAAAAAAGAAGAGTACTTCCTGTAATTCTTTGCAATAGTTCACCTCTTCATGTGACCAGACTCCATGGCTGAGGTGACTGGTTATTGGAGGATGAGGGTTGCAGCGATAAACTGATCATATCATCTCCCAAAGATTAACTCAGTTGCGTCACATCAAACCGGCTGGGTTCATCGCCGTCATATCTCCCGTCTGCTTCTGTTCTATTTGCACTAAAACTGAACAAGTTTCTTTCCACAGAACAACTGGAAACATCAACACCCCCCACCTCCCCACGCCACCTCTGAGTAAAGAGTCATTGAGGAGATGACGGAGGAAGGGCTGCTCGGCTTTGGAGGCATACTAATTTTGTTCTCAGTTTGTTACTCATCGTGTCATTGCTTTAAGGTTTTTCTGTTTCACCTTGACTCGCCATGTTGAGTGAGATCAATCCAGGCCTGAAAACAAAAAACAAAAGAAAAGGAAATCAAATATTGCAAATTGGTAATCTAAAAACTCGAGACAATGGTGCAGTGTTGGTGCATGCTGGCTGGAAGGAGAGCCCGAGTCTTCTGCTGATGTGTCAGATACCTGTGCTTGAGCCCAGTAGATATCGCGGTTAATCAGCCTGAATACATGAAAAGGATAAAAAAAAAAACCCAACAACAACAAAACCTGCTCTGTCCTTCATGCATTCAGGTTTATGTATAAACTGTGTGTATGTGTGTGTCGTATTACAGCCACTTGTCCTTCTGATGCTGCACTGTCACTCCCCACCAACACTGATTTGTATGTGATGAAGCACCTTTGAGGGAACAGCATGTTTGGAAAAAAAAAAAAAAAAAAGAGTCATAATAGACACAAACAGTAGGAGATCATAAATCACTTGGATATTCTAACAAAGGCATTGAGTTGCATCCAAAACCAAACCAAAATAGCCAACTATGATTGAGCGTATCTAACATGAACAGCAGCTGCATGGCGTTATAACTGTAACAGCACTGGGATCACTCAGCAAAGTGGTGTATTGCCTGTAACATAAAGTTAATATATGAGGAAAGAAATGCCACATATTGCGTAATAGTGGGCATCAGTGGGTCCTCCTTTGATCGGAGCAACTGCCTGGCACGGGGTTGGCACAGAGGCAGTAAAGAGCTTGGATGTTCTCTGTTGCCAACCCAGATGTTGCACGCCAAGCTGCTGTGTTCAGTCCTCGAACACGAGGAAATGCTCAAGCATAGTTGGTGGAAATGCAACAAATGCCACAGGCATAAGGACAAGGAAGTGGAACGTGCTCGGGTGCAACATGAGTGTATTTTCTGTATGCTAACGCGCCTATATATCCAAATGAGGCTGCTGCATGGACGGAGGATTGACCCGGTAGCCTCGTACTCCTAATGGTCAACCTTGTCCAAGAAAAAAAAAAAGTAGTGGGATTTATACATTTCAGCATAATTATTTTATATCCATAAACATAATCAATTTGTACTTATTTTTCTAGTCAAGAGCAAAGTTAAAAGTACTTTAGGAGAAGACTGAATTGATATATTTAATTACAACTACATATCAAAAGATTTTATGTTGGACTGTCACTTTGTCACGTATACTAAAACAAATGATTATTTTTTTAATCACCCTAGCCCCTCTCTGACAGACTGCATCACTCTGGAGCTAACATAGCTTAGACTAGCTTGCATTGTGAAAACATCTTCAGCTTGGCAGCTCAGCTCTGTTGAGTGCTTGTAGAAATAAATTTAGGCTAATCGGAAGCCTCCTTTGGTTGCACAGATGCAGTGTCTACTAAATAATGTGTCTACTACTAAGCGTCCCTTGCTGAGAACATGCATAAAGGGAAGAAAGGCGTAAAGGAGTTGTGTTTTGGGGGAGGGGGTAAATGTACTTAACTAAGCAGTGGATTAGAATGGTTAATAATGACGGGATGAATAGAAAGTTTCTCCCACTGTCTGCAGACCAGAACCGAACGACCTTTATTAGATGACTGTGACCTAAATTAGGTCCCTAGCATGGAGTAGGAGTGTGTACACTACCACAAAGTGTGCTGGTATTTTCCACAGAATATGACCGGGAGACGCTGTTTGTTTATTGCAGCGATCCTGCTCTATAGATTGTAAAGAGAACGTCATTCTGAAAATAGAAAACAATTTTGGAAAATGGAAAAGATGATACTGTGCTAAATATGTTTGTGTAAACTCAACCCATGATATAGATGACATTTCTTTCTCAATCAAAATGATCTGAGCCTCAGTGTCCGTCTTTTGGGTGTGGTACAACTATGCTGAAGCCTCATACACATTGTCCTGAAGTGAACTTTTGACCTGTGATTACATCGTTGTCACACATTGTAGCAAATAGGTTTCTTTTTGGAAAAATATGTGAGTAAAATGTACGTATAATTGGGTTGTTAACGCCATACTTTCTAGCCTGAACTTTAAGGAATTAATATTTGGTAACGTCGGTCGCTCACTCTACATAAAAATCGACAAACTGATTGTTCTGTTGAGAAAAAAAAAAAAGATGAATATGTATCTCAAAAAAATAAAAGATCTTGGTTTATTGTAGGAATGCGGAGACTATTCAAGTACTGTATGTGGCACATGGATAGGTTAGGCAGAATTTGATCAGCCATCACGAAGATGAAAGGTAGCACCAATTCAGCAATTATCGAAAGACAGGACATCCTTCGTTTTCCTGTTTCTATTACTTTGCTTTGTATCAGGGTTTACATTCCATTTTGTCAGCTCATCATTATCTATCACAAACTGTCACAACTGCTTCTTATTTGTTTACAGAATATTTTTGAGGCACTTAAACATAGCAAAGTGGTACATGCTGCAAACCGGCATAAACTCGAAAAGTAATGCACCATTTACTTTCATTATACTTGATTACTGTGCTTTTTTTTTTTTTTTTTTTTTTTTAGACCTGAGCCCTCATTGCACAACTCATTCAGGCTGGCATTACTCACAACACTGGACTGAGATTTCTCTCCTTCCTACATCTTTTCAGATGTTCTTTGCATTGTATACCTCTAAAGTTTTTGGAGTGTTTTTTTTTTAAAGTGCCATGAAGAGTTCAGTTGAGCAGGCATCCTTCAGTCATTCAGGGACACAGGCTTCCTTTAAGGGAGTCCACGTGTTTTCCACTGTGAGAATAAAGTCTTGTACTGACATGGAGAACATCCAAGCCATCAATGCCTCCATGCCAGTATAGTGCCAGGCAGTGCAGGAGGTCAAGAGGAGGGCCCATATTAAGTCCCACTAAAGCGAAAAGTGGCATACAGGAGGCCCGAGGGGCTGATGGGGCAGATGGATACAAGCTTCAGTCAATAAATCACACATGTCCTATCTGCCACATGCTTTGTTAAAGGTTAGCAGGTTGTGTCATACAGTGTAATGAGATATGGATGACTGAAAGATGCACAGATGTGTTGTTATCCACTGAACAAATCAAAAGACTGACACGTCATATGTTACTGTTACAGTATGTTGCATTAATTTTGTTAATCTATTTTTTTGCTGTAAAGGATGGAAATAGAAACTTATTTGCTGGGAAATGTACTAGATATATAATAGAACATAAAATACTTATGGGGATAGGAGGTGGGTCTCAAGTCTTAATAATACATGAAAACTGCATTCAGCATTTTCTTTTAAAGAAAACTTGCTTTTTTTGGCTGCCTATCAGTTCAGGAAGAATTCAAGATATTGCTCTTGTTTATCACAGATAGGATTTCTTAGTACATCATCATTGAAGCAAACGGAAGTTTGACACAGCAGTCTAATTAGTTTGGATGCGTTCAAGATGTGATGGATAAATGGATTATTTGATGGTGCTGAGTTGATCTACCTGACTCTGTCAAATATAATCTGCTGATAAATATACTGTCTTGTACAAAAAAATTGTACATAGATTGTACATGGTTTCTTTTTGTATTTTTTCTCAAATTAAAATGGATGTATTTGTGTTCTAAACCTGGACATTCTCCTAATTGTTTAGAAAAATTCCAGCTACAAACAGCAGTTCTCAGTTATGAACTATACAATTATATATTTGGAATGACCATAAATAGAAAGTGATACAGTACATACACAACTATTACATGTAGTTTATACTTGTAAACAATGTCCATACGTTAAATAATGTTATACACTTGCGAACACTTTATTAGGTACACCTTGGTAGTGCTCGGCCACCTTTTGCCTTCAGTACTGTTTTAACTCTTCATAGCATAGATTTAGATCCTATGTGAACTGTAGCCTCAATTTCCTGTTCTTAGTTAACAAGAGTGGTACCCATTGTTGTCTTCTGCTAGTGGAGCCCATCTGCTTCAGGGTTCAACATGTTGAGCATTTGGAGACACTCTTCTCCATAGCTTGGTTGCTGTGTGTGGGTATTTGAGATACTGTTGCCTTCCTATCAGTTTGAAGCAGTCCAGACATTTTTCTCTGACCTTCTCTGACAAGGCATTTTCTTCCAGAGAACTGCTGCTTGGACCATTCTCAGATGTGGTTATTTGGGAAATTCCCAGTAGCTCAAGAGTTTCTGAAATATTCAAAATAGCACTAACAACCGTATTGTGTTCAAAGTCACTTAAATCACCTGTTTGTCCCCATTCTGTTGGCCAGTTTGAACTTCAACAAGTCATCTTGACCATGTGTAGATACACAGGTTCAATTTGATTGTCTGATTAAATTCTGTGTTAACAAGCAGTTAAACCAGTTTGTCAGGTGTACCTAACAAAGGAGCTGCTGAGTTTATTTTAGTAGCAGGCTCCGAAACTCAGCTAGCCTGCTTCATCGGGGCTGTGTTTGGGTGTTTTGATCTGATTTAAGCAATAATTGACAGATAACATAAGCAAACATCCCTCTAATTTTTTACCATATATTAATTAATCTTTGGCTCTTTTCCACAATGTGTCTTTTGCTTCTCCTCCTTTAGTCTGGTTCTGCTGGAAGTTTCTTCGTGTTACCACCGTCACTAAGCATTTGCTCATCAGCATCTGATTGTTGGGACTTTCTGTCTGTTACTGCAGAGTCTTTACCTTACATTATAAAGCTTCTGGAGGTGATTGAAAGTGCTTTCTATTAGATACACCGAAATCTCGTATTTGTCTGATAGGTGTCCATTCGGTGCAGTGTTTGCACAACTCTGTTTGCAAATAAAAAAAAATGCGCAGACCAAACCAACATCACTCCAGCCAACAACATGGAGCGTTCATGTTCGTGCACAACATCAAATATGACCACCATCAGTCTACCCACATGCCAAATTATCTCTCTAAACATGTACAGTACAGTTGAAAAAGACCCAGCCCCTGACCTTGACCATGAACAGGAGACACCTGAGATGAATACAAACTGTATTTTACCAATCCTCACCCTGCCAAGGGGTCTGTGACCCTGCCGTCCAAGTCCCACCACCAATCGCGTATCCTCTGAGTCTGGCATTAGTCTTGATTTACATTTACTGACACGCTATTAGCTGCTCCATCACTTTCACCTGTCACACTGTCAATCAATGAGGATCCACACAGTGATGGGTGGGAATAGCATTCTGTCCACAGTAGCTCGTATATCTCCGCCAGGACAGTGACAGTGGATGAGTAAAGGACATCATACCAGGTATCTCGCTGTGCTGTCATGTCAGCGCTGTGGATGTGCGCCACATCAGGATGTGTAGCATCTTAATGTGGATTTGGCTTGCAGATACAGTTATTATAGAAGCGACTGATTTATTGAGGGAGTAATCCTCTTTCTCGCCGTTAGAGCTACGACATGTCAAAGCGAAGCCCGCACCTTGACGAGCATGTCATTAAACAGCGCTAACGTTGGAGGATTTTTAACCTTTCTGTAATGCAGTAATTTTCCAACTCCAATAATCTGTTTAGATATACACTGCAGTGAACACTGTGCTGCCCGTGTCAAGGGTACGGAGATATCTCCCGAGAATCCTTCAAACATCACGAGCAGCACCAATTCTGAGGTGTTATGATGTGTCAGGATGACTTCTCAGACAACGAGCCACTCTTATCTCATAGCTAGAAATCAGTGGACATCTCATAAGTCTCCGAGCCCTGCCCTCCTTCCCCTCCTCCTCCTCCTCCTCCTCAGCTGAAGTGTGCAATTTCACACTCCAACGTCAAACAGGCGGTCAGAAAGAGAACGTATGACCCACCCTGGCATTTGTCCTCATTTCTCTCTCAAATGTGCAAACACTATTACCCTTGGGTTATCTTAAGTGGTGTGGTGAAGAATCCCGGCCTCTCTCCTCTCTTCTCCATGCCAGACACCCAGACATCAAAACACGACGAGCGGTACGGACAGAGCGGGGATAAAAGACAGAGTGAGGCAGGAGGGAAAGCGATGGAAATGGAGCAGATGTTTGTGCGGCTGCTGATTTGTGGCCTGATAAGGGTGCTACACAGGCAGCTGGAATTGATGGCTTGTTAGTGAGGACGGGCCCCTCTGTGAGATGTTTTCAAAATGATTGATTTACAATAAAGTGGCTCCGGGTGTGTGCATGCAGGCAGAACTGATGCAGATCGATCCCGCTGAAATTGATTGATCAGCCATTTAGGTTGGCAGTGTGTTTACTGAACAAAAACGAGCAGGACTCTCCTCCCAGCTCCCCCCTCTCCACCCCCACCCAACTCTCCATAAAGCAGAGGAGAAATGCCACCTCTGGGCCTGTCTCATTTCTCTGGAGGTGGCAGCAAATACAAGCCCTATCAGAATATGAACCATAAAAATGTAATCATACAGTGAGAAATACTGGCATAAACGTTTACGATTGTGTACTTTATTCTCCTATCAACGTGTCCTTCTGTGACTTGGAGATACTATGCCTTTAAAAATAATGACTTACCTGCTCTATGCAAAGGGAGGGAATACTGTTTGCCTTATCTCAGTGTCACATTGAGACTTTCAGAGGGAGGCATAGAAATAACTAATAACAGTGGATTTCAGTAAACAAGCAGCACATTCTCAGCCATACTTAAAGCTGACACACCAGCAACCTTTAGCCTACCTACACTCACATGCCTGTCATACATAATGTAGAACAGCCCTCAAGTGTTAAAGTGCCTCGTATATGGCAATTTTTCCAAACGGCACATACAAGGGTCTCCGTGTACATTTTATAAGGAGTTTTACTGATGGATAAATCACAAGGACAATGTTTACCATGTGACCTCTGTGACTTTTCTTTACTTCCTCTTTGCCAAAACAAACCTCTCCACCAGCCAGCTAAGGACTTAAATCACCTGTCCTCGCACGCCTCATCCTGTTATTTGGATAATTGCCAACAAGAGCAAGCTTTTCCATTCTCAGGACGACGTGTGGTGGCCCCATCATGTTCCTTATTAACAATTTTACACACTTCGTCGCAGCGAGAGGGTGTCAGAATGCCAATAATATTTACCGTCTGGTGTGCAGGCTATTCAAGGGAGGCTGAGTGTTGCTGATTGCCCTGACAGAAGCTGACAGCACCCTGAACCTGAGATCCCTGCAAATAAACTCAGCAGTGTCGTTTTTTTCACCTTCTTCTTCTTTTTAAGGAAGCAGGGTGTGCCTTTAGACGTGAACCAGACGATGGAGCACCACACCGATGCTGTTTATGCTTCTTTTAGCTACTTCTTTTAAACATTCATTGACTAATAGAAGATATATTCATATATCTTTAGATATATATATCATTATCCCCTTGTCATAATGAGCCGTTTAGCAAATCAGTGACCTGCAGGTTTAAAATAATTTTCTAAAAAGAGCTGGAAGGCAAGCACATGAAACAGCTGTCGTGGGATTATTGAGCCATCTCAGTCAATCCAACCACTGTGTAACAATTTCCATAACATTGACACAAAGGCTGTCAACACCATTTAGAGCTTCTACCTTTTGACCCCTGAACCGTTTAACATCACGGTCAATGTTTTACAGTATCCAAACATCTGGTTATAGTAGGGCACCTCAAACATATCGATATCGATAAGTGTGGCTACGTGTGTGTGTGTGTGTGTGTGTTTGTTTGTGTGACAGAGAAAGAAAAGGAAAAGATCCAAAGACCGAGCCCTGTCCCAATTCTACTGTGATAATAGTTTCCATGACGATGAGGCATGCTCAGCACATCACTTGTGGCCCAGATAAACAGTGATCCTTTACAAAAACAAGAAGGTCATTACAGCAGCTTGTCAAATCAATGCCCAGTGTGTCCAAGTTGATTAAGACATCTCCCCTCAGCTCTGACACTGCGTCAATAGCAGCAGGCGCACAATGCTGTGACGGAGGGGGGTTAGGGGGTTGGGGGTGTTGGTGATAGTCTATGGCGGAGAGAGTGTGTATGTGCGGAAGGGGGGTTGGTGAGGTGGGGGATATTCCAGCTTTCTCCTTCCACACACACACCTACACAAATACACGCACAGTACTCAGATGATTGGAGTGAAATACCCATCAGTCAGGGAGGCGAGGTGGACTAATGATTCCCTGTGCTGCCTATTAGAACTACATGACAACTCAATCCTGCTCACGGAAAGAGAAATGGGGGAGAGAGTTTGTTGGGATGGAAAGTGAGGGGGGGGTGAGGCAAGGAAGGGTGAATGAAGGGAACGCAGAAGAGAGAGGAGGAATAGAAAAAGTGACCTTGTAGCGGCATCATTTGAGGCTGAATTAAATTGGCAAGAGCAGCTAATCTTTACCTGGGGGCGATTAACAGAATTAAAGGAGAACAACAAAGGCACAGGGGTTGGCGTTTCTCTTCTTTTTTCCCCGGCTGCCACTGCCATTTGTAATTTGTGTTGAATGTCCTCTTCTGGAAAACTTGGCGAATCTTCCTCTCTAAGCCTGTCATGGATGGTTGGTTTTTCTATCTGACACACAAACAATAACAGACTCAGATATGTGGTTGGCTGTCATTACATGACGTCCAATGAAATCAAGACTGTGTTGTCAAGTCAGCTTGTTTTTCAGTGTTAAAGACT